GATCCGGGGCTAAATGCCCGGGTCAGAGAGCCTCCGCCGTTAAGCACGCGGTTAATGCGTGAGTGGTCATTCTAAGCGCTTTCGTATCGACCAGGGAACACCGCCCCTCCATCGCCAGCATTGCGCCTGTGCTCTTACGGGATGGCCACTTGGTAACTCACCGGAAAAAATATGCCCTTTAGTGCTCTACCCACTGTGCCCCTTGCCCGGAAATGTAAAGGCTTTCCTTAGTGCTCAACAGGGCGGATCAAAATGAGGTCAAAATGAAAAAGGCCAACACAAACGAGTGCGTCCATCCTTGTTCAGAGCCAACTTGTGAAACAAACTTCATGAAAAGTTTCAAGCCTGCGCGCTCGCAATCCTGGAAACCAGGCCACCGATGGCTGGGCTGTAGTTTCCACCAAAGCAATCCGCGTTGGCCGCTGCATGTAACACCGGTTGGCGGGCACCTGGCACGCGAGCATGGCCGTCGTGAAAGAATGCTTCCGGAAGCTTTTTTCAAAATTAGTCGGAACCATTGACAAATTGGGCCAGGCATATATTTTAACCATTTTATTTTGTATGATACACCCTCTAAAAACGACAGAAACAAAACAGGTAGAGACTATATTAACGTCTGGTTCCACCAACAAGGTCCAGCGCCCGTTCACGGTGCAGTAAATGCTAATCCGTTCCTCTTGCATATTAAAATGCAAAAGTGAAACATACTTTCGCACTACCTTTGAAATGCACGAATTGATATCCTAAAAAGTTCAAACGTACTCTTTTAAAATCGTTATTATTTTCGTCCTCCCGCTGGCCGCTGTCTCATGTGAACCGCGGACAAAGCTGCGCGGCCTAGAGAGGCTGCATAGCCGAGCGCTGGGTTTTTGTGCCGAGACTTGCGAGCGCATGGTTAAAACTGTTATGTAATTTTTCCAATGCCCGATTCTGGACAACGGTGGAACATCTTCAGACGAGCATGGATTAGCCATGTGAATACAAATTTATGACCCCTATTTTAAGCCATAATCTACGCTCACTGCCAACTACTTCCACAAAACTCTGTGCAACGAGAGAAATTTCGGCGCAGTCCCTGAGTGTTTTCGTCCTAGAAAATGTCCAATGAACCATGCACAATAAACAGCGCCGACAGTTTATAACATGCAATCATTTAACGGCCGGATCCTTCAATTTAGTTGCGTCAAAATCTAACGAGACTTGTATATTTTGGTGGCTTCTGGCTTCCGTTTCAGTTAGACGGATATCAAAATACAGCGAAGGAAATCGTGCCCCTTAAAACCAAGTGGGTCAATAGTTTTTTAGGGGGGCGGGAACGGGGGGGGGGGGGGCTTTCATAAGGAGGAGCTCTTTGCCAGCCCCCATCTTACTCTGACTGGTTGCGCCCCTGCGTGGGCGAGTTCGATAAGCGTCGAGCAGGCGTACAAAATCGTATGGCCATTGAAGATTGAGCTCAACTGGCAACGTTGTTGCAATCAACCTTTGGTGCATATGCCATTGCCACGACGGGGGCTTCACTTGCCACACATTCGAATGTGAGCAAGTGGGGGTCGCTTTTCTTTCAGAGGCACAGCAGATTTGAACAGTTACCCCCAGGGAGAACAGCAGGCTGGCAATGCGTGTTTTTTAACGAGCGGGAAAAAGCATTCTCAACAGGAGGGCATCTATCTATGCGCATTTAGAAGGGTTGAACGCCATGTGCTGAACCGATTCATTTACATTAACTGAAACGCACATGTTTTATCGGTCACATTTTGTTCGTCGAGAACCTGCGTGTGAACGGGTTGTGGTAGGTGCATTTTTCGAGGGACGCTTTATTCTGTAAATGCAGTAATGAATGCATCACAAATTACATGACCACATGCTGGTAAATTACGCGCAGATTTCCTGACCAGTATGTTAAAGAAAAGTGCAATTGCACTGATTCAGCATAAAAAAACAGACGCATTCATAAGAAGTTGGTGCAGTCTGCCAAGCTTCCATACGTAATTATGTGGCTGCGTACATGAGGTTTGAAAATATGTAGCAGGTGAAAGTTATGTATATATATATATATTATATATATATATATATATATATATATATAATATATGCGTGCGTGCGTGCGTGCGTGCGTGTGTGGTGTGCGTGCGTGGTGCGTGGTGGTGGTGTGTGTGTGTGTGTGTGTGTGTGTGTGTGTGTGTGTGTGTGGGTGTGTGTGTGTGTGTGTGGTGTGTGTGTGTGGTGTGTGGTGTGTGTTGTGTGTGTGTGTGTGTGTGTGTGTGTAATATAGTCAAAATAAAAAGTAGATGGAATAGGCGAAGTTTTTCGTGCTCGTCCCTTTCTGGCGACTTACACCACTTTGCCTGCCCAATCATTTTGAGCAATCGGTACCCATACCAGAGAGTAAAGTTCAGCATACGCTTTCCATGTTCAGATAGGTTTATTGTCATTGCACACGTGTTTGCATTTCCGTCAACATCAAGCAACATACAGGCTTGTGAAAAAACATCAGGCAAGCATTTTCCCCTTCCCATTTACCTTTTTTGATTTCTGGGTGCGTCATGAGGAGTTTTCAAAAACAAATGTACGGAAATGCACTCCCTGTGCTAGCCTGCTTTGATTCAGAACGCCACCTTGGTGCGGCGCGAAAGGTTCGAAAAGGTGTCTCTTAGGGGGAATGTTTCACGTTTGAAGGCATTGAATCAGGCGCTAGATATCATGAAATTGGCTCGCTTGTAACTATTGGTACGCTTTTAAGTGGAAAATACTGATTTAGACAACAGTTTTTTCCTATTTAGCAAACGAGCTCCGCGATACGTCGAGTTATGGTGTCATCGCAACTTGCACAACATTGATTGACAGCCAACTGACTGTCCATGCATATAAAAATCGCGCTCACGCACGCCAAATATGAACGACTTAACCATTTTGTTTTTCTTGGCTTGATCTTGGCTTGTGGAATGACAGAACTTAAAAGACGTCATTATGACGTCATATATCAAGATGACCTTGAATACTCTTCCAGAAGTAGTCCCCCATCAAGTCTCATCATCTGCAAAATAGCCTACCCATTCGTCGGAACAGGCTCCCCATGACCGCAAAGCGCGCGTATCGAATTATTTGTGGCGTGATTGTAGCAGAAAGCGGCGCGAGTATTTTTCCAATGTGTTCAGTCTAGACATGCAAAGAAACGTTACAAAATTCCCAAAAGCATTGAACGGCCACGTTATATGTGATGTGATATGCTATATATATATATATATATATATATATATATATATATAATATATATATACTCGCAATCATCATTGCTTCGCTCCTGTCTTTGTGACGTCAGGTTAATGTTGGCTACAAATTGCTGCCACCATTTTTTCACGCGTTACATCTTGGATGTTACATTTGCATGGCCTTGCGATGGGTGTAAACAAAACGCGGGAAGTCCCCTGGCGAGTCACCTACTGATTTTCCAGCCCACATATTGCGCATAAAACTATGAACTTTTCATCATTCTGCCTTCTACTCGCGTTCTAAATAACCTTCGACAATACCGATGATGGAACAAGACGCGGCAGAAGAACTGATGGTGATGCTGCATATGTGGTATGGCGAATGAGAAGGGGTCTCGATTTTGCGCGACTTTTGCAAGCGGCACAGCTCGGATTGATTTAAGGGAAGGGCCCGGAATCGGTGGCTGAGTACGCCACCCACGCTGGTCTTAATTTGTTTTCTTTAGCCATATATGCGGAAACAGAAACACAAGATCCATGCTTAATGGGCGCACCTCCCGTCTTTGCTGCGTCTCCGTCGATTCTTATTAGTCCGTGGACCTGAAGGACTCGCATCCTTCTCAAACTTGGGGAGGCCAGTCAAAGACATTCACTCTGCACACTCAGTGTCGCCCTGATATATTGGGGGCTCGTTTCAATTCTGTGAATCGGGAGTACAAGCGCCGAGATACCAGCCCCCAACCCCTACCCTGTACTAGATTTGGGGCACTTGTTATTATGTATGTGACAAACCTTGACGGTTTAAAAATTCCAGCCCACATGAAATAAAGATTCAGAGCATACGTTTGACACGGGAGGTACAGAAAAATTTGCGGGTTGCTAGTGGTGCATCATCGATTCTCAGTTCGTTTCTATGTTGTGCGCCACTCCCATTGTGATATCCTGCGTATGCCCTGCTTTGAATTGATCATACTACAGGTGGTGGCCAATGGATTTACCTTAGGATAGGAAGTACCTTAGGTGGTGTCGATGGAGTCCTGAGGGATTTTGAATGTTGGCTGTTCGCATTTACACCTCTTGGTCAATTGCTGGCAGAAGACATTCGCCGCCAAAGTCTACCAAACAACTGTTCCCCCGGAGCCGTCCAGCCGTCGCCGTCCAGAGCAGGCCCGCGCGGGACGGCCGGTCCGGTCGCACAGCGCGGTCAGCTGAGCGCGCCGTCAGCTGACTCCCGGCCGGGCGGCCGCCCGTGCAGGCGCGGCCTCCAGTCACGCCGCGCTCCCTGCCCGCAGACCGCTGGCAGCCGCGCAGGTGTGGAGCAGTGTCCGGGTGGGCCGCGCGCACCGCACCTTCAGCTCGCCTCCTGTCCCGGCCGCCGCGCCGCCGCCGCCGCCGCCGGCAGCCCGCCGGCAGCCATGAGCGCGCCGCCGCCGCCATCGCCGGGCGGCCCGCCCCAGGCCAGCTCGCCGGCGCCGTCACCGGCCGAGTCGCCGTCTCTGGAGCGGCACCAAGTGCGAGTGGGCTTCTCGGAGCCGGCGTCGCCGTCGCTGGCGCGCCGGCCGGACGGCACGCCGCTGCGCTCCGAGCGCAGCCCGGACGCCGACGGGGCCGACGCGGCCGCCGGTGCGACCCGGCTTTCGACCGCCTCCACGCCCAGCCCGACCGTTCTCGGTCACTTCGTCGACGGCGTGCCGAGCTGGGCGCACCGGGCCGAGGTGTGGGCGCCCGGCGCGCCCGGCTTCCTCCGCCGGCGATCCGCAGCATAAGCAGTCGTCGCAGTTCGACGCGCACATTCATCAGCTCAGAGGTGAGTGATGGCGGCGGACTGTCGGTTGCGCTGGGCCGTGCGTGCAATCCATTTCGCCCCCCCCCCCCCCACCTCAACCCCTCTACTCAGATGTGCACGGTTTTGGCATTGAAGATGGCACCCATTTAATCCAAACACGCGACGTGAGTCGAACATTTTAAAAAGCAGAGATGGCTACAGTGGGAGACCGGCAGCTGGTTACGGCTCCTCCCTCGGTAGTTACACAGGCGCGCCTCAGAAGATGCGGGAGCGGCAGGCTTTAGGTCTGACGGGGCCGTGCTGCCGTACTAGACCCTGGAAGCTCGAGGCGCGTGCGCTGTACACTGAGTACGCGGGGCTGCGGCGGCCTGCTAGCCGGCCGTGTCAGCCGCGGCCGGGGCGTCCCGCAGCGCCGCGCGCGCCGCGCGCGCCGCGCTGCAAGTTCACCCGCGCCGGGCTGGCGGCGGTTGTCACGTGGGCGGCGGCCCGGCGCCGGCCCCGCCGCACCGTCGCCGTACGGCCGCCGCACCGTCGCCGTAAGCGGCCGTGCCGGCCGGCCCGCTGGCCGCTGGCCGCTGGCCGATGGCCGCTGGCTTCCCAGCGAGGGTATCTGGAAAATTCAATATTTTGAATGGAAATGACGTCTTCATGGAATGATCTTGGGTGTTTGCACTGTACTCCCGATCATACATTTTGTTTTGAAGTCATGGCTATGTTTCAATATTCCGCCTTTTCTGTCTCCTTCGGGCTTCCGCGAAGACATTCGAGTCTATATGGTACTTGATGGCTCCATGGGGGCGCACCGACGGGCGGCGGTTGCAGTTCGCCTGCTCAGAACAGCGACCCGGCTGTCGGCGCCACCGGCCGGCAAGACGCTATCGCCCCCCGAGCATATCTCGTCCGGGGTGGGCCCGAAACGAACGTGCCCATCTCGTACGTGTCACGCGCGATAGCGGCGTATGTGAGTATGGAGATCTACGACGGCCGCGTTTGACGTAAATGCTTCGAAGATTGGGTGTGGAATGTACACAGACATATTTGCCTATCTCAGCGTTGTGTAGGTCCCACGCGTTGTTGGTATTTAACGACGTGCTTCGCTGTATTCACTCGTGGCTGATTTCTGACAGACGACAGTGTGACCAGAATACAGAAATGCTAAACCCTGCGAGACGGAGTGTGATAACAGCAGGCAGCTCCGTGTACATCTAGGGAGTCTGGTAATTGCAGCAATAATTTACATTAATTTTACCACCCGCTCGGTTAGGTACGAAATCGCACGCTTCTGCTATCATGACATTTCAGGCATACATCGCATGTAAGCATCACGACTACGGCGCTACATACTTCATACACAACGTCACACAGCACACCTGCGGTGCCAGTAGCGCCTCTGGCTGGCCGACACCTATCATATGGGTGCTCGATCGGTGTCGGCTGGCCCATGTCCCGCGCCCGGCCGCTCGTGATAGCTTCCACGCCGCATTATTACCGTGCGCTGGCCGGCCGCGGCCGCTTCTCTAACCGCGCCCGAACCGCAGCAGCCACACTGGGCCAGCTTTACGCAGCGGCATTTATGGCAGAGGCGCGGCGGCGATGAGGGCCCGCCTGCACAAGGTCAGCATGTGCGCGGCGCTGGGCTCAAGGGTGACGGCCGCCGGCGCACCGGTCCCGAACCGCCGCGGGCGAACGCCCCCTCCCCGGACCAGCGGGACCCCGCGCTGCTCCGGCCGGCGGGCGGCCCGAGGGGCGCCGACCGAGAACGCCGCGCGGGCCGTGCCGTCGGCCGTTGCGGCAACGATTCGGCGGCGCCGCGGCTTTGGGCCGCTGCTGGGGTGACGTGAGGGTTCCCAGAGGCAGCGGCGCTACGTCAGCGTTTTCAGGAGGCCGGTTCCACGAGCCGGGGCCCGGCCGCCGCTTGCAGCAGGCGCCCCTGGTGTACTTCCGGGCTGCGAGGGTCACATTTTATGCATTGGTTTGGTGCCCCGAGCCAGTGAGCGCGTGTGACCTCAGCAGCGGCTTCGATCGCGTGGTTCCGTCGAAGGTTATTTTCCGGTAAACGTTAGGTGATTAGCATCGGCCCGTGTGGTCGATCCTTGCTAAGCTGATGCCTACTTCATTCACGTGAACTCGACCCCCAGCGTGCGGATGTGAAACGCTAATGATGTAAGTAGTCATATTAATCCGTAAATAAGCGAGGATTGAACATCTCGTCTCCCGGAATTGGTGCCTTCGTCAGCCCTGCAGGGCAGGAGTATTGGCGGAGCAATCTTATGCAAGCGCAGTTGCGCACACAGTGGGGTTAGCTTGGCGACGCTCCCTTCCAAACTTAGTTGAATGGTGATGAAATGGGTATAACGACCCCCCCCCCCTCCCCGACCCCCTGATGTGGTCGGCTATCTGGAAGTGCTATGAAATGAATAAATGTTGCGTACCCCTAGATTTTGTTCACATTGTCCGGCCTGAGCATGAAAAGCATGCGATACATTTTTTTTTTCAACCGACGTTAGACAATGCGCGGTCCAGACGAGCATTGCCTAACGGCAAGCGGAGTTTGTTTCCGTTTCCTCTCTCCCGGAGTGTCTAAGGGCCGCAGCTGGGCTCGCACGTCGGCGGTCCGGGGCCGTGAGTCGGCACGGCTGTGCGGTACTCGGCACGCCCGGTGCGCCGGGTCGGACAGTGACCGTGTTGAGCGCTGATCGAACCAGCCCGCTTCATGTCGGACCGGGCTGCCGACCGTCACCGCGCTGGCGCTCGCCTGCATCGTGTCTACAGATGTGACCTGATACGAGATGTCCTCCGATGCTGGAGCTGTGCGAGCCCCTCCCCTCTCCTTCCGGGTTGCCAGGCGATGGCCGGTTCATGTGGGTCAGCCTTGCCGGGCGTTGAAGAGATGGGCCGGCGCCTGGTGCCGCGCCGCCCGTCCGTGCGCCTGGCCCCGGGCTCGTGTGTGTGGCTGGTCCCCGCCCACGGCCCGCGTGCAACGTAAACCGGGGGCCATGTGATGCATGTCATGATGCATGCTTGTCAGGCCAGACCGATACTGGTGCGGTCTCGCCTACATGGCCTGGGACCCATCTACACGGACGGAGGGGGTGCTACTGAGTTCGCTAGCTCATGTCGGGAGGCGCCCTGGCTCTCGACGGATTTGATGTGATGGCATTGTTTGTGCGCCACAGCCTTCACCCGGAGTTTGCCTACGTACGTGTGTACGTGTGTCTACGTGTGTCTAACCCTGTGTGCTGCTCTGAGGAGTGCCTGAATTATTGTTTGGTTTAAGAAGCTGACGAAACCCTCGCAGCTGGCGACCACTGGCCAGCAGTTTTATCGCGCCAGATGTGTGCCACGATGAAGCCATCGGCACTGTCTGCGAGTTGTTATGATTTCGCACCAAATTGGAACGGCCCTTCCCACCAATTTACATTTGCTAAGAGCAAAGGTTCTGTAGGATGAAGTCATCTTCCCATCTTGCCCATTATTTCTTTGCATTCTGGTTACGAGCAAGGTTATTCTAACAGCGCTTTGACAGTCGTGGGTAAACAGCACGATCCATGACGTACGTACAATAATGACGTGTGACGTACACTAATGACGATCCATGACGTACCATAATGTACGGTCCGTAGTGTCACCATGACGCTGAAATTCTGGCATTGATATCACAAGGAACAGTAAAGAACTTGGGGGTGAACCCCGACTCCTTCCTTCGCTAAAACATCACCTGAAAGCTTATTTCACAGCCTCTTCGAAACCGAGGTAGCTTTAGTCAAAGACTGGATAGAAGATGTGCTACTGGCAACAGATAGTGAGGCATTTGCTTGTTTCTCCACTGGTGGTGCACCGCGATCCCGCAGCGCGCTCGTGACTCCACTGACTTCCACTGCCACGGCGACGCCACGTGTCAGCGGGTACTTGGGCAGGAGCCGAGCTCAAAACAGGTCTGGCTGCCACTCTTTCCCTGCCTTTCGATCGGGCGAGGAAGGACGGAAATCAGTTCGCGCCCCGCCCGCCGACCCACACGGGCACTTATGCGAGGTATCCAGGCCGCGTCGCTGGTCCCGACTGCGCTAATACGCGGTTCGGCTGGGCCTGATGCAACCGCACGAACCCAGTTCAGTGCGGCCGAGCGGCGCGGATTCTCGGCACGGATGGCAGGGGTCGTGTTCGGACATCGACAGCGCCGCTCTGGGAGGCGGTTCGGGCGGCAGGTGGTCGGCTCGGACGACCGGAATGGCACGCGACACGCAGCGCGCGGCCGCCTGTCGTCGGTCACCGGCCGCTCCCCTCCCAGCGTGACCTTTCTGTGACGGGTGCTGTCGGCAGCCGGCGGCGGCGGCTCGTTCACGGCTTCCCAGCGCCGGCGATCTTTTGACGATGCTCCTGGCTGGCGTTCTGGCTTTTCTTCTGGCTGATGACGCCCTCACTTGTGTCGCATTCCTGTTGCAGACCACTTCGTGATACTACCAAGGTCACGTAAAAGACACTACTACCATTACAGGCGACCCAGCGCTGTGTTGGAAAAATATGTCGGGCCTGTGTGTTGGAGAGCCGCTCATGAACCAGTTGCACCTTTAAAAGGAGATCTATGTGGTATCACTTCGAAAGGCCAAAGTTACGTAGTCAAGCAATCTGGTCTCAGCTGAAATTCAAAGTTGATTTGCGCGAGGGTGACCTTCTGAAAGATCGGAAAGCTTTTCGAAATTCGACTAACGGTTTAAACCGATATTTCAGATTTCCATTGTCAGGTGCCTCTGCCTCCAACGCATGCTTAGTTCAGGTGCTTTGTTAAGCGGACCGGGCAACAAGCCACGCTCGAACGCTCGCGTGTTGTTTGCCGGCACTCGCCAAATTGAATATTTTGAAGTAATGCTTGGTGTGCCCATGCACGAAGGTGGCACCGCCGCATATTTCCTGAACTTTGGCCGGCAGGAAAATGGTTTGTGCTTTTTAGCACATATGGGGGTGTTGCTTGCTCGTTGTTGTGTTGTAGTCCACTTGGTTCAGCCACATTCATGTCAAGTGCCTGGCGTTGGTTGGAATGAAACAACAGCCGGCTTGTCCAGGTCACTGCCCTCTGGCCTCTGTCCCGTGGCAACCAAGATCAGTGTTTGCTAATCACTCTGAAAACTGCCGTTGCTGCAGAGGAAAATGTAGTCGGGAAGGTTTGCTTGGCTGCTGGGTTGTTCTTAAGCTCGGCGATTGCTGTGCATCTGGACCCACATTCCATTCGTGCATTTGCATAATGGACCAGGCGTGCCCTGCCCGAGGTCTGGATATTCAATGCATAGAACCTGCGACCGCGCCCTGGGCAGAGGTCCACATCATATATTTGCTGCTCCATTATTTGTCACCGAAGCGTGATAATAATTACCGGCCATGTGTGTTTTGCCTTGACCAGCAAATACAGGCATAAACTTCGGTGAACAAGGTTCTCTTGGGACCAAACGTACACAGTAACGAGATGAGAAGATTTGCACCTTGTTGTGAATGTGTTGCGTCGATAAAGGGGCTAAATAAAGTAACGTAATGGGTCCCTTGTATTGGCTGCACGTGGATAGGGTTTATGTGAGTGTGTATGAATAACCAACATATGTGGTCTTTTTCAGATGAACAGGAGCGAATGCAAAGGAAAACATTCCTGAACTGGATCAATTCTCACCTAAGAAACGTAAGTCATTCGCGGTTGGCAAGTGTTGCAAGCGTAAACGAAGCCCGCATGTGACTACACGCGGCGACAGTCGAGGGAGCGAGGGGGCTAGTGGCGGCCCTCTGCTAGCTCGCCGCACCGAGAGATCTGGGTCAATGTGTCTCTCCTGTTCGTGCAATCTGATAACAATAATTTGTGATGGAGCCGTGCTGCAAGACAGTCATTGCAGCCAAGAAGTGGAGTTTAGAGATGGTATCTGATCCGGCCGCAATGTTGCATGACGTCGATGGCTCTCAAGGGCCCCCTGGGTCAAACATTGCTGCGGTTCTCATTTACCCTCCCTAACAAGCCATTTCCTCCATCAATACTTCTCAGGAAACCCAAGGGGGGGGGGGGGGGCATGCCCACTTCGCGTGGGATATGTCTCGTTGCGATCGTAATTGGCCAGTGAGGAAAACTGTTCAGTTATCTGCGAATAAGACGGCGCTCTTTTCCGTCGCACCGCGAAAGCTACACGTTTTCGAAGAATGGCCGTGAAAAAAATCGTTTTCTGAGCCCGATGTTTAGAGTGCTGCCGCACGCTTCCCTCATTGATTTATTTTTCCATCAGAGTCTTTCCCTTTACACCGTGGTATTTGTACTAAGTGCCAGCCAAAGCACGTGCCATATGCAAGGATAATGCGACGTAGTGGCATTTCCAACACGGACAGCATTTCTGTCTGGAACGTTACAGCTGAAGGCTAGGAAAATTTGAAATGCCGTATTGGATTTCCAAAACCGCTTCTTTTAATAAAAGTGTTATGCTCATTCCAGGAGAACTAGAATTAGAGAACCTCTCATGTTGGCTCTGCACCCTCAAGCGTGGCCTGTGACTTGTGCTTCAGTCGGTTCGGAATCATCAGCGAAACCGTCTCTCAGCCCAGTCAGTCACCTATGCACCCATTTTGGTGTAATTGTGGGAAACGTCGCTGAGGCATCAATAATCGATTATTCATGTTATACATGAGATTTGCTGCGACCTTGGCGAGGTCGACGGCGCTCCGTCGCTGCTACCAGGCTGACGTAACCTTGGCGGCACGTCGGGCTCGGGCAGTGGCGGATTTGGCAGCTGGCCAACCGAGGTCTGGCCGACGGCATCATTAAAAGCACGAGCATCGGGTCGCTGTCATCCAGGGAACTGACCAGCAGCGTGCCCCGCGTGACCTCAGCGGCGGGGCGAGCGGCCGAGGCGGGCTTCAGTGTGCCGGCCGGGCGTCCGGGCTCTTCGCCCTAGGGCGCTGTTGTTTGTGCGCGCGGCGGCGGCGGCCGCGCCGGACGCGTCACGCCCCGCTCCCTGCCGCGGCATCTGACGGCCACGCAACAGCCGCCGAACATTGCCGCCAGCGCACCGGTCCCGCGCGGCCGCCCCGCAAACCAATACCGTCAGCAGGAACCAACAGACACGATTTCATGCGTTTGGCGCAGCCATGAAGATCGGGCCGCGGCGGCACGGTCATCTCGTGTCGATCACGTCAGTGGCGCCGTTTGCTAGGATTTCACCCAGGAGAGGGCCAAATCGGCCCAAAAGGGCCCTTTCAGCCAGGGAGACGTCTTTCTCAATCGGGGAGCATTGTGATACCCGGTTTATGCTACAATGATGCCTCAGGGTCCGTATTTATGTTTTAGTGGCTTACGGACATATTTAACTGCCTGAAAACTGCTGGGCCTTGGATCCCAGGGGACCCCGCTAGCTCCAGGAGAGAAGAGCATGGCTTCCATGATCCCTTTGGCCACGCGACCGATTCCCCTGTAGCTCGAATGACAGAGTGGCATGTGACTTCTTGAAGTGCACAGCGGCTTGGCCTGTTCATGGCAATTATCTGGTACAATCGATGTTCACTTAGCGGTACACAGACAGTTCACATTCCACAAGTGGTGCAACATCATTTCACGTAGCCCCCACTTCGTCCGTTTCCCACCGCTCCCATCCGGCACGTCTGACGTCATCCCCGCGGCGGCTGTGACGTCACCCTCGCGCCGACCGTCACGCCTACCGCAGGCCCGATCTCCGTCCGGCGCAGCGGCGATTCAAACCGAGGGCGCCAGTGCCGCTCCTCCGAATCCGTCCGGCGCAGCGGCGATTCAAACCGAGGGCAGCCGTGCCGCCTCCTCCGATTCCGTCCGGCACAGCGGCGATTCAGACCGAGGGCGCCATGCCGCACCTCCATTTGCGCCAATGGCCCGTGCACCTACAGGAGGCAGCTGTGGTCGCTCGCCCCGCGCGCCAAAACGCCCACGTCCCCGCGCGGCAGGCGACGGCTGGGAGGAAGGGGGGGGGGTGGGGTGGTGTAGGCCGCCCCTTCCTGTGTGGAGCACGGCAGGCCGGCCCCGTCTATAGCGCCTACTGCTGCCCGCTGCCTGCCGGATGCTGAATGCTACAGTATAGAGGTTACACCTGCATTGTATGCCTTGGTGCTGCGGCTTGCCGGCAGCGGCAGACGAGCCGCGCCAGAAGCAGCTTGTGCGGTGCCGGGGAGACATACCGGCTCAGGTGCCGTTCAGAGAACAGCTCGCTCTCCGCGCGCTTGGAGCCGGCACCCGGGGGCGGGCCACTGGCCTTCGTGCTTGCAAAGCGGCTTATCCGGTGGCTTTGCAGTGGCTTCCAATGCAGGGATTTGCGTCCAATCTCTCGTCAGGCGAAAAACGGGTTAGCTCGTTCGTATCGGCCATGTAATGTACCGATAGGCTGTGAGGTTTTCGTGAAAGTCTGCCAGACTCTTTTACCGAGAAACGCACTCGGCTTCATACACCAGGCCGGTTCTGAAACCGGTCGGGGTAGTGATGTCAGGCTCCGCCGGCTTCTCGCAATCATATGATCAACTGTGTGTACATGCCGAGGGTGAACTGAGCACGACAATGCTCGCAGCGCACCGTCAAAGAAGCTGAAAGAAAATGGACCCAGCGGGTGTCCAGCAGGCTAAATGGCCAGTGTTTCTCCATCTAACCAACCATTCATTCGGGCTGTGACCTCCCGCCTCGCCCCCTCCCTCGGCGCGTGATTGGGGGTGTACGTCGCATAATGTTGTGTGCGCCGTCTGCCCCGATCGCCAGCGCTAACTGCGTCTGACTCTGCCGACAGCACAAGCCGCCGATGCAGATGACCAACCTGATTGACGACCTGAAGGACAGCACGCGCCTGCTGGCCCTGCTGAACGTCCTCTCCGGAGAGGATCTGGTGGGTGTTGGGCCGACCCGCCCTGACGCGGCGCTGGTGCCCGTCACTCTGACAGCCAAGAGTGAGAACATTCATTGGTGCGGGTGACTGCACAGGCCGTGTCGTTTCAGCGCCGCTTGCGGCCGCTGTCATGTCGATGGTCAGCGAAAAACGCACCGGTCGAGTATTGAACCCTGGACCTATTGGTCACGGTGCCGGATCGGTTAGACCACGCAGCCCCGCCGCTGCCGGTGTTTAGGCGAAGGGCGACTTCGTGTTGTGTGGTCGTTTATGGTTTGTTCTATTCGCGTCATGCTGGATTCTGGTGTGTTGGTCTTTTGTGCGTGATGGTTTTAACTTAACACTAAACACTAAATCCTCCGAGCGGGTCCTTGACGATGACTTTGGCTCGTATTGACCGACCTCTCTGCTTCTGGCACCGGGAGGCCCAACCGTGACACGCGAAAAGTGCTCGTATGACTGGTGACGCTCGGTGCTAATGCGCCAGCATGACCACCCAAGTGACGCAGAAGGTCGTTGGGACCGACTGCTTTTTAGTCCCCGCTCTGACAACTAGCAGACCCGGGCTCGGTGCTCTTTCCGCCGGTCATCGCTGAAGAGCTCATCTCCCCACCCACGCGCTGACATCACCCGCCCAGACCTGCGGCTCGATTTACATGTCGCGAAGGCCGCGCTTTCTGTGTGGAGTGCTGAGCAACTACCGGATGTAGCGGAGCCGTTGGCGTGTGTTAGCCCCCTCTCAGCGGCGGTGACATGCGCTGTCGCTTCCCCAGCCGGTGGAGAGGAGCCGGGTGCTGCGAACGCCGCACTTCCTCAGCAACGCCAACACGGCGCTGCGCTTCCTGCAGAGCCGACACGTGAGTGGCCGCGGCGCAGGCGGCGCTGGCGGCGCTGGCTCGTCCGCTGGCGGCCCTGGCGGCTGTCCGGGAGGAGGGCCCGGTCCCGGCCGCTGGCGTGGGCGCATGCTGCGGTGATTGATGGTCCTCTTGCGGCGTGGTAACACCGCGTGAAAATGGGATGGAGGCAGGTTAGCGTGGATGGATATGGGGAGGGGGGGGGGGGGAGATCGGAGGACTGGAGTAGTTTTTGCTTGAAGGTAAAACAGAGCTGCTGCGAAGCCTTACGAGGCGCGGAGGATTAGCCCCGGTTGGCCGTACTGGTGGAGAGCCCGGCCCGCCGCGCCCCTGGTCCGGAGCGGCTGCACGCTCGGCTGCCGTGTGAAAGCCGGGAAGTACGCCCCCGGCCGCCCACGTGGTGCGGCGGCCGTAGAGGCCGGCCGGGTGTGACGTCACCCACCACGGCAGGCACAGGAGTGGCTGCTGCTGGTGCAAGGTCGACTCCTGGGTATGCTACGGGCAGGTCTAGACGGTAGGGCCGATTAGGCCGTGCCCCCAAGACCGCGGAAAAGCGTGACTTCTCATGTTTGAGCCTAGCTTTCGCGTAGATGGCAGCGAATCCGGAACTGCCTCCCGCCGTCATGTGCCGGATCCGGCCCTGGCTGTACTCGCATCAAGGGCTACCGAGAAAACGTGCATCGCTGGAATGGTGTCGTTTCTTTACACAGAGACAGGCATGTGGGGAATACTGGGATCCGGAAAGCAGGTACTGTGTAGGTGGTGCGTGTTAGCCGACTGATGTCTACAGTAGCCCTTAATTAAGTAACGCGCAGCGCGTCAAAAGCTTGTCGCATCTAGGCTGACTACATTACAAAAGCCTTACGTACTTCAGGACGGTTGTTGCAATTGAAATCACCAATCTTTTCGACCTTCAGTTATCGCTGCTGCTGTTCTTGGTTTGTGCCGCGAAAGTTACCGGCGAAATACGCTCACAAATGTACGTCACAATGACCACTATTATAGTATGCCCCTCGTTCTGTTGTTGACACACTTTGAAAAGGCACGGATGCTCCGTTCAAACAGCTTCCTCAAACAAAACAAACAGTCCGATGTGAGACGGTCAGCCCGCGGTCGCCCCGCTCCGCCGGTGGACCGACCCGGTACGTGACGGCCGCTGAGGCGCGGACCACCGGGGCCCGTTTGACACCCCTCCGGCGCCAAGGTCACGAGGGCAGACCCTCTGAGAGCGGGGCGGCTGTTTGTTCTGCTGTCCTGTCGGGAGGAGCGCGTCACGTGCGCCGCTCCTGGCCGGCCGCCGACGTGCGCGGCGCTCGGACCACGCGAGCCGGCCGGGGATGGATCGTCGCCCGCCCAGGTACCGCCTGAGCAAACAGCGCGTGACAACGGGATTGGACGGCGGCGGCGGCGGGGGGGGGGGGGGGGGGGGGCGCACCGCCGCCGCCGGCACGCCGCGGTTGCGTGCCGGCTGCCGGTGACGTCACACGGACGTGGTGCAGCGCTGCGGCCGAGTGGCATAGTTTGAGCGCCGCGTTCTCCCGTGTGAAGCGGCAGCCATGACACATGAGAGGGCCTGCCGGCGGTCGCAGGTGGATGTGGGCGTTCGCCCGGCGGCTGGAGCGCACACTTGGTTGTCGGGGACAGTCTGCCGCCAGGTTCATTCAAACTCGTGGAATGAATGGGTAGACAGCGGTAGCGTTTTACTAGTCGCTCGTTTGTGGATGTTTTGTTGACCGTGTGGGCGGTGCCGTGGCCAGAGGCCGTGTCTCGTGACAGCGCCAGCCCTCTGCCCCCTCCCCCCCCCCCCCCCCCGCCTCAGCCTGGCTGGCGGTCGGGGCGGCGGACAGATAGGAGCCCGCGTGGGCGTGACACTCGGCGCTCGGTATTTTCCTTCCGGGGATTATCCGGGTGTGAGGGTTGGCTGCACCCGAGCTGCGGACGCGGCGCGCTCGGGCCGTGCCAGAGCCGTGAGCGAGCGATGTCCGCCTGCCGCAGATAAAACTGGTCAACATCAACCCGTCGGACATCGTGGACGGCCGGCCGCCGGTCATCCTCGGCCTCGTCTGGACCATCATCCTGCACTTCCAGGTCTGCCAGCGATGCATTCTCCGGCGTATAGGCGGGTTTGGAGGCTGGAAGTCGGGCGGGCCCGCTTGACAGGGCTCTCATGGGGGCGTAGAACCGGTGCCCGCTTTCATACCGCTCTTGCCTTACCTCCGAGATGATGTCACCGTATGCAAACGATACTCGGCTGTGCTGTCGTGCCATGTCCGACCTGGCCTGAGCAGCGAGAGCGGAAGGCTTTCGTCAGCGAGAGCGTCGGCATGGAAACTGAAGTTGCGCTGTGGGGAGTGAGGAACGTAATTTGGGTTGTCATTTGATCGGGAGCAAAGTGCTAAAGTGCTCCATGCGCTCACCACGTGTGGTGAGTGCATAATCCATCTGAGCTCCGTCCTCTACCAGCGCGCCATACTACCCACCCCGAAGCGGGAGCAGTGTAGCGCGCTAGAACGAGCCGATTCGTGCTGCCGTCATCCACGTCGTCGATTCTGAGCCCCCGTCTACACCGAGCGCGCCTGTATCGACGGACCGGCTTGACCTGAGCTGACCTGACCTGAGCTGACCTGAGCTGACCTGACGCAGATCGAGATGAGCACCCGTGCGCTGGAGCAGCTGGCCTGGAGCGGCAGCCTGGCCAGCGCTGAGGCGCGCATGGCCGCCTCGGCCGCCGCCGGGCCCGCCGGACCGGAGCAGCAGGCCAACGGGGCGCCGCCGCAGCCGCGGCCGCAGCAGCCGCAGCCCGGCGCCCGCAAGGCGCTGCTTAGCTGGGCCCGCGGCGCCACGCAGTGAGTCCGGGGGGCGAGGGGAGGGGCCGCGGACGGATTGCCGGATGGTCTGTTGAGTGATGCGTCCTCTTCACGCGCCAGGCACCGCCCGCATGAGGGCGGCGGCGGGCAGCTCGCCGCAGCCGTCTCTGGATGCTGATGATGTATGTACTGGGATGTCTCTGGTCTGTGCTGCGTACGGTTGACCGGTTTGCGCGACATGCGCGTGGAAGATGACCGGTTCTCATTCCCCTCTGCGAATGTCGTTTTAGCGTGTTTTTAGCGCCGCTGTCGCTGTTAACGCAAACGGTCCCGCCGATGTTACGCGGGCGTTCGGTGCAGTCTGCACTGGCAGCACCGCCTGTCCGCACCGCGACCCGGAGCGCGCCTGCTCCGCCTCGCACGCCGCGAGCTGTACCACCGCCGCCTGTCCGCCCCGCCAGGATGTACGGCATCGAGATCCAGGACTTCGGACCGTCGTGGCGCGATGGCCGCGCGTTCGTCGCCGTGGTGCACTGCATCGAGCCGACGGCCGTGGACGTCGGCGCCGCCGAGCGCATGACCTCACTGAACCGGCTCGGCGCCGCCTTCAAGGTGTGCACCGGCCGGCTGCCGCTGTCGGCGTGGCTGGGCGCCGGTGGTTTCACGCGGCGTGGGGTCACAGATCGATGGATTGTGTATATGTGTGCCGGGATGTCCATCTCTCTTCTCGGATAAAACTCGTAAAAAGCTCGGAGGAGGTGAGCTGTGCTGGTGCGCACCGCTGAGAACGTGATATGTGGCCAAGTCTTTAAAAAATGGCCATGACCCAGGACCTTGAAAGGTTCTGAAATGTGGACATTTGTTTACGCGGTTCAGCTGGCGGCACAGAGGACAAAAACAATGCTGGGTGTACCGTTGGATGGACGATAGACGGCGCACCCGCCCATAAACCCAGCCTTTCAGAGAGTCCCGCCGGGCTAGGGCGCGGTGTAACACTCCACCGACGTGGGGCGTCGGTGACCCCGGCTGACCCGACTTTTAAACCCGCCTGACCTGGCCTGTGACCCGGTCTTACATGGCCTGGCCTGTAGTCCTGCCTGGCCTGGCCAGCGGCTCTGCCTTACCCGGTCTGTGACGCTGTCTGACCCGGTCTGTGATCGTATGTGACCCGGTCTGTGATCCTGCCTGACCCCATCTGTGACCCTGCGTGACCCGGTTTGTGACTCTGCCTGACCCGGTCCGTGACGCTGCCTGACCCGGTCTGTGACGCTGCCTGACCCGGTCTGTGACGCTGCCTGACCCGGTCTGTGACGCTGCTTGACCCGGCCTGTGACCCTGTCTGATCCGGCCTGTGACCCTACCTGACCCGGCCTGTGATCCTGCCTGACCCGGCCTGTGACCCTGCCTGACCCAGCCTGTGACGCTGTAGGCGGCCGATGAGCAGCTGGGCATCGCCCCACTTCTGGACCCCGAGGACGTGGACGTGCCGGAGCCGGACGAGAAGTCGGTGATGACGTACGTGGCCCAGTTCGTGCACAAGTACCCCAAACCCAAGACACTTCAGCCGGGTGAGTGATGGAGGTGCAGCTGCGAGGCAGTCGTCTAACGCACTGGGTGGGTCTGAGGGCCGACGTAGCAGCTGGGTTCGATGTGGGCGCGGTGTGGGGCATTCTAGTCCCGTACGCTCGAGGTATTGGTTGTTACAATAGGTACAGCAGACACAGCCAGTCCGAGCATGGCTATTGGGAGACTATATTTAGCATGTCGCAGGATGAGGTGGTGCTGGTTTAATACCAGTTTCAGCGAGGAGGCGAGTTGGCTGATGTGCTGTTTGACTTGCATTTATCGTTAATTTGTGCCACCTCGGCATCTGCGATGTCGGCTGGCTGGTTGGGTCCGTGCGGAGCTGGCTCCCAGCTGGGAGCACATCCGAAGTGCCGCGGCCCGCCTCTGTCTGCTGACCCAGCGACCCGTCCTGCGGCGCCCGCTTTGAACCTGCGCTGGCCTCAGTTGGACGCGTGTGATTCCCACCCAGCTGTATCTGGCGCTGGGCCAATAGACCGGTGTGGAGGGGGGGGGGGGGGGGGGGAGGGGCACGCTGCTGCGGCAGAGCTGATAGGAATGTTTGCTTGCTCAATCGGAAGGCGATGTGTAAAAAGTGGACGTATCTTCCACGGTGATCTTGACCGGATTACGTGAGTGCGCTGCCTTGCGCTCCGGCGAAAGAACGCTGATGCGTGTGAATGGCCAGTGGTAGCCCTCGCGCGGCGCACAAAAACTGGCCACGCTGCATTCAATGGCCAGGGCATGGCTGACACGTGGGTGGGGCGGAGGTCTGGCGCCGCCGCTGCCCCATTGATGCGGTGAGGCTTAGCGCCTTAAACGACATCGTGTCAGCCCTGGGTGGAGAGGCCGGACCCGAGACTGTTACGCGTAGAGCATCGTGTTCCTTCGCCTGTGGTGTTTGGCGAAGGTCGGCAAGAACTGGGCCACCCTTCCCTCACCGGATACCGAGCACGCTCCCTGGTGTTGTATTGTCTCCGCCGCCCAGCGTGAGAATCACTGGTGCGTGCCTAATGGTACGCCTTTTTCAGTCGGCGAGTGGCGAGCAGCGCACCCCCAAACAGGAGGTCATGGAGATCACTGTCTGGATCATCCGGACGATACGCATCGTCCGAAACATTCGGTCGCCAGAGAAGGACAATTTTGAGGTGAGCAGAGAAGACGTTCTTTGCGGCTTGGTTGCCATCATCCCTCATCAGAGATGTAGTGCCATTGTCTTTTTTTAGTCGGTCTTGTCGTCTTGATGAACATAAACTAACACTAGTGAAGATAAGTTGGTGATGTCAGCGAATAAACATTAGTCGGTGATATATTCGAGGTTGCGTTGCCAATGCAAACAGGGCGGTTTTGTTTCACTCGTTCGTTTATTTACTATGCATGTGCAATATTTCTAGACTGTGGGCTAAAAATCCCCGGGTTTCACAAGGTTACGTTACTGCACCGTTTAGTGATTGAGTAAAGGCTTGCAACCGTAGTTTCACATTTTAGAGCCCACATTTGTTTCCGGTCTCCCACGCCATCTCTCCAACTCCCGTTCTATTTTCTTTTGGTTCCCCTCTTCCCGTTTCTGAATTACACTTCAAGTGGTTGCATGCAGGAGGAACGGAACAATAGCTTTCCCATTACTATCGATTGTGTGTACAGTTCGATTTTACATGGGAAGCCCGATGCGTTACGTTATTATCGCCGCACCCCAGCCATGCCGCACATGGTTATCAGACCTCGGATGTCGCATATCAGACACCGGATCTGACGGTATCAGATGTCTGGCATCGGACCTCATGATGACGTAATAGCAGATAGTGGTCAGGGTGGTAGGCAGCATATCAGATGAGCCATGTCACGTAGGCGGACGTCGGCAGGTCAACACGACCCGCCATGGCTGGAGCCCGGACAAGAGCGTGACACGCACTGTCGCTATCCGTTACATTCTCGTCGTTACATGACAGCCGCTTCCTAAAACCTGGTAGTCCGCCTCCTCCCTTGCGTAGCATGCGTCGTTAAGCCCAGCACCGCAGCCCTGCACCTCGTCGGCATCGGTTGCCAGCGTGTTGCTCCGCCGACAGAGGTACCATTCGACGCGCACCGAGGCTGCGGAGCGTCGGCTGCGGTACACCGAGCTACGCAAGACGGCTGACCTGATGCCGGCCGACGGCTGGCAGCGGGCCGACGAGGACTGGACTACCCTCGAGACACTGGTACGGGGCAGGCCGGGCCCAGCGCCGTGGCGGTACTCGCGAAGTGGGCCAGGCTGACAGCCGGGACAATCTGACAAGCTGACATGAAGGCATCCGGTTATGAGCGGGTTCTTTTGAGTGCCCATTTGCGTGCCATTTTGAGTGCCCACATTGCCCAGTGAGCGAAATATCCATGCTTCCTGTAGCATTTTGGTCGGGTACAGCGGACTGGATCCTATTGGACAAAACCGAGCAAGAGAATCACAATTCAATCATCTGTGGGTCCAGTTACAGCTCGTCCTCATGCATAATGTACTGTACTGCCGTGCCATAGGACTGCCGCGTGTATTTCCGTTCGTGGACACGCGCGCACTGAATGGGCGGTGTATGACTGTGTGGTTGACGCGCCCTAAATCCCAAGTAGCCAACCAACCATGTGCGCGGTGATTGAAATCACCTCTTGGCATTGCTGTGAATTCCGCTTCCGAATCAGAGAGAGTCAAAGAAGAACTGAGAGCAGACAGTGGTAATAGCCTTATTCCTCAGACAAAAACCAGGAGAATGGAGGTAAAGATGGGTTGATATTTCGACAACATGCCGTTATCAAAACAATAGCACATCTGCCATTGTTTCGATAGAGGCATGTTGCCGAAATATCAACCAATCTGTATCTCCACTCTCCTGGTTTTTGTCTGGGGAATAAGGCTATTACTACTGTCTCATCTATGTGAATAACGTTCCTCGCTAATGCACTGAACAACTTACCTCATCAAGGACTGAGATCGTTGTAAAGTCACCACGCTGAACTGTAGACACAGCTTGATATGTCTTGTTTGTGCGCCAATTTTCAGCTCAGCTTAAAGCTGCTTTTCAAAAACGGCGTCCTCTTACCTAAGGCTGCTGTGCGTTGAATGCCACGGCGGCTCAGGGTAGCGGCGGCGGCCGCCTTGATTAGGAGTTGTCAGTCCAGCCGGCGTCCCTGACCTCGGCTAGACGTGCCGGCAGGGGCCGAGCCGGCGGCGGGCCCGTCTCACGCGACGGCGACGGCCGCTGACGGTCTCGGCGCCTGTGTCGGCAGCTGGACGAGTGGCAGGCGCATCTGGACGGCCGGCTGCCGGCGCCGCTGCAGAGCGTGGCCAGCTGGGTGGGCCGCGCCGAGACGCTGCTGGACAGGGCGCAGGACCCGGCCGTCGGCAGCGCGCGTGCGCCCCAGAGCGTCACCGTCATCCTGGAGGAGCACACGGTACTGGTCGGCTGCCCCACCTAGCGGCGCCGGCCGCCCCCGCGCTCAGCACGCACGCTGGCCGGCAGCCGACACTAACTCTGGCTGGAATCTCGTGCACGAGGCAGCTGTAGTTTGCACTTTGCTGTTGTTTTCTTGCGTGTTACACTTTTTCTTTTGCGTTGTGCGTTTTGCTTTAGAAGGCATTTATCTCAGTTGTTCGCGAGTAAGTGCTTGGTTTGCTCGTAATAAACAGTGGAAGTGTATGTGTTTCGCTTTGGGCTGCGGTGTGGATGTCGGTGGCTTCAGTTCGTCATGAAACTATGTTTGGTGTGCATGATGCATTAGGGCGCTGGGCACTGGGACTACCCGCTGGGGCTGACAGTTCTTGTTCAATGCTTTGGGTCCCTGGTGATGTAACTAACGTGCGTGCTTGCGTACCTCGTCCCACGGGGGTCGGCCTTCACAACCGTGTCTTTCTGTGGGCCGCGAACTGCTTGAAGATGATGCTTTGCTTCTTTTGAATCCAGGCGTGTTACGAAATACATGATGGTCTATTTGCATTGAAGAGAAGCGCTTTGATGCAGTGGACAGAGTTCCGCACCAGTGTTTTCGTTTATACCTTGGCTGTATGACTGAAACGAAGGTAACCACGTTTTCGGTCGCATGGTACGACTTCTCGGTAATCTATCCATATGCGAGTCTTCTGTACAAAACTTGCCTGGTCTCTTTCCGGCTTTGGGCAAACTGTTGTAAAAGTTGGGTGCAAACTGTCTCACAGCTTTTTTGCAGCTCTGTGGTAGTTTTGTCGTGATAAATCACGGCTAAGGCTTACTTGATGCACTTACTTACTCGGAACCTTGGAAACGGTCGTGTTTTCGTCACTGGTCAAGACTTTAACATAAATCCATGAGTCCGACAGCTGTTAAGACACCTGGGGTGTCCTTCCCACCCGGACGTGGTTCACAACAAACTGCAGTGCGAAATGGCGTGAACGCGCGTTATAGGGAAAGGTTGTACTGAGCCCCTGGTCAGAGCAACCCATGCAGATGAACTTTGTGTTGCTTTCGTACCTGGACGCCTGTGGGAGCCAGCGAGGGGAGCGCTGTTGATATACGTGGTGGAGGCTATCGATGCGCACTGAACTCATTGCCGTAACATTTTTGTGCATAGTCGAGTGTAGGTTACGCCTCGCAAAATTGCATGGATGAGTGTAATGTCAGCGGGGCGTGCTCAGTGAGGTAACGAGTCATGACTCACTGTGGATCCCGTTCGGTAACCGACTCCTCCAGCGGCCGGCGATACCGTGCGTCGGGAAAGCTGGGATTAGATGAGCTGAGACTTGGAAATACGATTTAAACAAGAAGCAAGCTTACCTGGCCGCCAGTTGCTTCATTAAAGTGTTTGCAATTCATCGGATTGCGATGCATGATTTCAGTGCGAATGGCGCTCAACCCCATTAGGTCCAGAGGTGGGCGGAATTGGCCCCCCTACCCCTCCCCCACGCCATTCGTGGTCGTTACCGTACCACGCGACACCGCACGCGAAATACAGGTAAAGATCGATCTTGAACGACCAGACCAGACGCTTCGCTCCCTCCATCCCCCACGGACCTCGCGAAGGCCTGCTTGCAAAGGGTAACTCTGAATCGATCTTAAGCGACCAGACGCGGTGTTTTGCTTGCCCCTCCCCCCCGCACGGACCCTGCGGAGGCCTGCTTGAGGGGCGTAATTAACTCTGGGTGGTTACAACGCCACGTTAGGGTCTGCCGGCCAGCTCCGTAAAATATCCAGTCCTTCAGGTGGCGCAGCCCGTTCGTAACGTATCAGACGGTGGTCGGTAATCGCGGGCCGGTGGTATCAGCGATAAGCCACCGCCAAGAAAAGCCGGACGTCGATCGCACTCGCCCTGCCCCGCAGAACAGTGTTGTTCCGGCCCACTGATGACCTCCGAAAAGTGGGGATTTAGGTTGGGAAAAGATTGGGGATTTAGATTGGTTGTTTATATTCGAGCCCTTTCTATCAGAAATGATAATTCCAGGGCTATGGGATGGGTGCAAATGGTTAAACGTAGGGCAGACTTGCATGCGCCTGAGGGAGGGGGGGGGGGGGGGCAACTGCCAAGCTTTAACCTGCGCATGCGCGCTGGGTACCCGGTCGGGGTCCCCCTTCCCACGAGGCTCTCTGCACACTCGCGGCTGACGCATGCAGTCTGCTCCGGACAGGCGAGGTGTCGCGAGGATGCAGGATAAAGCGAGATAGAGGAGAAGAAGGCCAGATTTGGGGATTTAGATGTTAGGTGCGGGTCCCCTGATACGGGTCGTGCTGAGTTTTCCCGAGGAACTCGCAGATAAGGCCCTCTGCACTAACGGCCCTGCCGCCCCTAGCAGATCACTGCAGAGTGCGTGGCCTGTTGTGAGGCGGGCGTGCCGCCGTCCGCGCCCGACCTCGGTCAAGCGTGCGTGACCCATTCAGGCGCCGGCTGAGCGTCAGCTGCGACGTAAACAGCACGCGACGCCCCCTTTCAGCTGGAGTGATAGCAGTGCCACACGCACTGACTGCGACATGACCAACTGATATGTGCGTCACGCGGTTACACCAGATGTCAAGTGGGCGGTTATGCGGATTCCAGAGCGACGATCGGTCCCGGGCTGAGGCTGACTGAAGCGTTACCGCAAGGCTGTATTGTTGTCATGGTGTTGCATGGCACGATAGTGCTATCCTGCAGACGGGCTGAGTATAATTACTCTGTGGTTTGGTCAGACTACTGTGGTATTATCAGTAACAGCGCGACCGTTTATTACAAGCGACCCCTTCGCTGCCTTACGAGAACTTCCAGTGACATTCTAGCCTGTCACTCATACAGCTGAACAAGTTACAATAGAACCGCGGCCTCGAACAGCCCGTATGGCTAAGCTATACACTCGATATAAAGTACGTGCGGTTTAGGCAGTGCCGAGTTTAATGTCTGCCCACTCTCACCTCCCCCACCCCCACCCCCTCCTGACCCGCGCCGCCGCCCGCCGGCCCTGACGCGCCGCCCGTCTCCAGACGTTCTTCTCGTCGCTGGCGCGCGTGGAGGGCGAGCTGCGCGCCGCTCGAACGGCGCCGGTCGCCGCTCGCCTGCCTCCGCAGCAGCTGCGCCGTCTGGACGCGCGGCTGGCGAGCACCCGGCAGCGCGCCCGCCGCCGCGCCGTCCGGCTCAACTACGTCGTGCACAGGGTCAGTGGCGCTGCCGGAACCGTCGGCTGATGCGGCCGGGGTCGACTGGACGTCTGCGGCTGGCGAGGGCGCGCCCGGTGCACATCTCATCAGTCATCAGTGCACATCTCAGTCACCATCAGTGCACATCTCATCAGTCACCATCAGTGCACGTCTCATCAGTCACCATCAGTGCACATCTCATCAGTCACCATCAGCGCACATCTCATCAGTCACCATCAGTGCACATCTCATCAGTCACCATCAGTGCACATCTCATCAGTCATCAGCTGCAGCGCTTGATCCAGATGTTGCACCAAACACGCAACAAACCGCTGGCGGGATTGATTCGGTTGTTGCTGATAACGCATCGCAAAAGGGGGGCGGTGTGAGCATGATGCCCAGTAGGGCTGGTAGGATTTAGGTCGTCTTAGGTGAAACTGTCCGGTTAAACGTGTGACGTCTCCGTGACCTTTCTGTGACGTCGCTGTGACCTCACCGTAGCATGTACGCGTCGCGAATCAGCTGCTAACCGCGTCATCTGGAACGCCCTCTCAGCTTTAGTGGTGGACCCAGCAGCCGGACTTGGGGGCCACGTTCGGGACACGGCGTCAGCCCATGAAAATTCAGCCTACGCACAGAACACATGCACTCCATTGATGTCTTTCGGCCGACCAAGCCGTTGCCGGCTCCCAAAGCCCGGCGGCGCCCGGGAGACGGACTGCGGCTGGCGGCGCTGACCGGCGCTCTGTGTCGCCAGTACCGCGTGGTGACGCACCTGACCCTGGTGGAGGAGACGGTGCACGTGTGGACGGTGCGGCTGGCGCGGCGGGCGCCGGGGCCGCGCGTCGCCGCCGAGGCCGGCGCTCTGCTGGCCGACGGCGGCCTCCTGCACGACTTCGACAAGCCGCTGCTGGAGATGCGCCAGGCGGCCGATGACCTGATCCGTGACGGTGACGTCAGTGAGTGCCGGAAGAGAGGTCAGCCGGCGAGGAAAGGGGTCAGCCGGCGCTGGGGAGGGGATGTCATTGTGGAGTGATGGATGATCAGTGAGTGCCGGGAGGGAGGTCAACCGGCCAAGAAAGGGGTCAGCCGGCACTGGGGACGGGGTGGTGTTTTGGAGTGGTGGGTGATCAGCGAGTGCCGGGGAGGTCAGCCGGCCAGGAAAGGGGTCAGCCGGCGCTGGGGAGGGGATGTCATTGTGGAGCAATGGGTGATCAGTGAGTGACTATCAAGGTTGTGGTGTGGCCAGGGGCCACTACGCACTGGGCATGGAGCATGTGAGTGTGTATTGAGACTTTGCTTGTGTCTTTTGACATGCTCCGTTTTTGGTACGCGAGTGTTGATATTGCACATTTGGAAATGATCAAGTTATCCGTAAGTTACAAGTTATCCGTAATCTACCAATGGCAAGTGCGGTTCCGCCAGATCTTCCCAGGTCATTACCTCAGAATCTGCAGGCCGCAAGGACACACTTCTATATTGGCACTTTTGCAGGTGCTGACGAGAAGAAGGCTGCGACCCACTTCGTTGACGAGGTCACCACCAGATGGCAGCCGCTATCCACTGAAGTACAGTCGCTGACATCGACCCTGGAGGAGGTGAGGAATGAGCCTTCCATGGAACAGATACTCAGCGAAAGTTCATCTGCCTTGAAACTGCATTGTATTATGGGGACCAAGAAAAGCCCGCAAAACGTCATGAATGACTGTGCCCCGATTTTCTTTTGTTTAGCTTTTTCTGTCAATATGATTGCAAGCGCCTACATGTTTGTACTCAAAGCTCTATAAGGGCTGGTCGCTTTGTTCGTAGTGAAAATAGGCGTGTCTGGTGCTGTGCAGACTGCGTTTGCACACGCCTTGTCAACGGCGTGGTAGTACCTGGGAGTACCGGTCGTTGACACAGGCCTCGTAAACGCCGTGGTAATGCCAGAGAGCAACGGTCGTTGACACAGGCCTCGTAAACGCCGTGGTAGTGCCAGAGAGCAACGGTCGTCGACACAGGCCTCGTAAACGCCGTGGTAGTGTCTGAGGGTGTCGGTCGTTGACACAGGCCTCGTAAACACCGTGGTAGTGTCTGAGGGTGTCGGTCGTTGACACAGGCCTCGTAAACACCGTGGTAGTGTCTGAGGGTGTCGGTCGTTGACACAGGCCTCGTAAACGCCGTGGTAGTGTCTGAGGGTGTCGGTCGTTGACACAGGCCTCGTAAACAGCCGTGGTAGTGTCTGAGGGTGTCGGTCGTTGACACAGGCCTCGTAAACGCCGTGGTAGTGTCTGAGGGTGTCGGTCGTTGACACAGGCCTCGTAAACACCGTGGTAGTGTCTGAGGGTGTCGGTCGTGCCTTGACAGATGCTCTGCGATGTGAAGAAGATGACGCCGGCCTCGGACGACAAGACCGCGGCCGCGCCCGAAGCCACCGGAGACGAGACCCCGCAGTCGGAGGAGGTGGAGAGACCCTCTGCCGCCCCCCCCCCCCCCCCCCGCCCCCGCCCCGCACGCTCAATCCGCGCGTGTGCTTATTAGGAGCGTTGTTCGCGGGCCGAGCAGCGGCGGTGACCAGCAACACCGGGCATGTGTGGCACCCTCCCGCTCTTCCCCTGCCGCCATATGGTGTCGCCTCGTTGGCTGAGGCGGGTCGTGCTGTTTCCTCTCGTTGATCTCGTGCCTGTCGGGGACAATTGGCTTCCGTCTTCTCGCGCTGTCGACAAAAACGGCCGCCGCTCATCACTGGGACAGACCAGATGCGTCTGGGCGGCGACTGCACCTGTGGTGCGGAGAGACACGGCCGCGGCGAGTCTCAACGCGCGCGCCTCCGGTCCCGATCGCACTGCCATCCAGCGGACACGGGGTGAACCACTTCACTGGGCTGACGGCGCAGCGGTTTGCCCACGTGCCGGTTTCACACCGCTCACCACGCGGATACGCGCCGGCCCGGAACTGACGGGGAGGGGAGGGGCGCGGAGCAGGCAGGACAATGCGGTTGCTTTGTACGGCATTAAAAGACTAGGTAGACATACTGTGTTTGCTACACAGCCACATGTTTACGCTTACAGAACACGCCATGTCCTTACTGACGTGCATAAAGCACACGCGTATCGTTTTTTTTATTGTTTTGGTTGAGTCGTGCGGTGTGCGCTGGTTCCAACCTTTTATCGAGCGCTAGTCTACTACGGTGACGGAATATTATTCTGTGATTATCTGTATGGCTCGGTTGTCTCGGAAAGGCGAGTATGCGTCGCAGAAGTACCAAAGGTATTACACGGAAGGCGCGATGTACCCGCTGGCTTATCACCCGGTCCTTGTGCCAGGGATTCTACACATTTAGGTTGTGAGATGCGAGCTGCCATTGATTTATTTCATCATTCCGGTGCGGAGTACGCTTATCAGCGTTGTAGCCGCCTCTCGACGCTCCCGTCACAAATCAGCCGGCTACAGAGTGCCTACGGTCCACACGTGCTGCCTTTGCTCCTAAAAAGACGTGTATGCGGCACGTTGTTGGGGTAGGGTGTTGTGTCCAGGCCGCCACAAAAGCACAGGCCAGCGGCGATATACGTGCTGGTGGAGTAGCGACGCGACGGCCGTCAACATGCGCCGGCGACTGTCGAGCTCGCCGCCAAGCCCGCGCAGGCCGGCAAAAACCCAGCTAAAGGCCGTCAAGCCACTCACGCTTTCGACGGTCCGTGCGGTGGTGTTCTGAGTAGCAGCGGCGTTCTGAACGAGAGCGTGATTGCTCTCGCTGGATTGTAGCGTGCTGTGCTGTAGTCAAGTGATGTGCCAGGCAGTGCACATGCTTTCAGTTCGACTTTGAGGAACGTTTCCTCTTGATTCCTTGTGATTCCCGATTGTTGCATACTTTTGATCGATTGGAGCGTATAGAGATGGGACCATACCAGCCAGGACCATCGTGTAGAGTTTGTTTGTATCGTTCGGCAGGGCACGATCCCGCGCCAGTGTCCGCCGCTCGGGGTAGGCCGCCTTACTCTCGCGCGTCAGACCAGCGCTGTCCGCTGACGGCGGGCCGCTGCCGCGTGCCTCAGGTGCCGGTGTCGGAGGGCCTGCTGGCCGCGGCGCCGGCCGCCCGCAGCGGTGACATGGTCAGCGACCTGGACTGCGTCATCAGCCAGCTGGAGGGCCTGCAGCAGCGCGTCGCCGGCCTCCGGCAGGTGGCAGAGGTCCGGAAACAGCAACAGCAGCGTCAGCAGCAGCAGCGGCAGCAGCAGCAGCAGCAGCAGCAGGTCAGGGTCGACCGGTGCGAAATATCGAGTGGCGCGTCTGAGAGCGCCGAGTGCGCTGAACATGTGTACCCAGTGGAGTGTGTCGGCCCACTTGCTGACAACTTTTCTCTGATTGCATATGGCTACCTTTATCAAACAGATTATGGGCGTCGATTAGGGAACGAGGTGAGAGTTAAAAGACTGATGAGGGTACAAGGGGCAGCGGCCTCCGTATCCTTGATGTTGCGTGGAGATAACCCGATTCTGCTCATGGCCATTCGCGACTATGGCGTTAATGTTCCGAAGTAAGATTTCATCAGACAACGTAAACAAAACTACAGGGTCATGGTGCACTTACGATCTGTTGATCCTCAGGGCAAACGAAACGATGGTAAAGCCAACAAAACGGGATTTTATTCCCCGATGATGTTCGGGGTTCGTTACCTTTGCATTCCTCCGTTCGTCAGGCGCTGCCGACAAACGCGAGCCCAGCCGCCGGAGGAGTGCAGCCGGACTCGGGCAGCTCAGCTCCCGCCCCTGGTGGTCAGCAGATCGAGAGCAGAGCGGTGAGTGCAGGCCACTGGGCTCTCTCCCGCTCGTGATGGGAGCAGATCAGGTACACGGACGCCTGTCGCCGTGCGCCGCTGTGCCGATGGTGCAGCATCAGTGATGCGGCGCGAGCGACTTCAATGCTGCAGCTAGGTTTCGTTGTTTCAGCATGCTGACATTATCAGGCCTAACATAGGAGGCGCTGCATGAAAGGAGAACAAATCTGAATAAGATTCAAGACTTACCATTTGCGAATTTACGTGAGAGCCCATCTCACCCGTGCTCACCATACTTCCCATGGAGCTGAAGACCGAGCCGAGCCCGCCGTCCTTTGGCGCCGCCTCGGGAAAGGCGTAACGGGTGGGGCATGTGGGGAGGGGGTGGGCTTCCTTGAGCTTTTCCATATCTCAATGTTGCCCCTACTGTGGCCCTACTATTCGTCTCCCCGTAGTCCATCCCAACTATTTCCATAACTCTTGCTCCCTCCCAGGTTCCTAAACTGCATGTGCAGAGCATCCTACGGACCACAAATACTTAATGCGGGCCTCAAACCTACTGCCTATATGCTCAGTTCTGACTGGTGTCCAGCATCCCCCTCCCTGACGTTTCGATGCTGTTGCTAGCCATTCGGTGGATGATCTCCTTCTGCCGATACCCTGCTAGACCACGATCGGCGTTGGCATAGCCTGCCTCGTTAGAGCCGATCCCCTGCTAGACCACGCTCGGTGCTGGTATAGCCTGCCTAGTTAGAGCCGATCCCCTGCTAGACCACGCTCGGCGTTAGCATAGCCTGCCTCGTTAGAGCCGATCCCCTGCTAGACCATGCTCGGTGCTGGTATAGCCTGCCTCGTTAGAGCCGATCCCCTGCTAGACCACGCTCGGTGCTGGTTTAGCCTGCCTCGTTAGAGCCGATCACCTGCTGGACCACGCTCGGTGTTGCATAGCCTGCCTAGTCAGAGGCGCATGCGTTGCCGTCTGATACCCAGCAGGATGTGGACGAACGGGCATAGAAGAGAAAGACGGCTTCGGAGTGGAATTCCAACACCAGAAACGAAAAAACTCGATGGTTAGCTTTCGTTTGGCGGGGGCTGCGGCACGAAATTCTCTCGTTTCAACGTGGTTGCAGCATGGTGCTGGCTCGTTACACCACGATAGCAGTGCATACAACCGCCATTTAAAGGCTCGGTGCGGGTGGTCAATCAGTCGTTCTATAGCGCACAAATGTTCACCAAACTTGCTTTCTCCGCGTCGACAGCACAGGTGTATTCCCATATCGCAATGGTCATTTTTTAATTGAAAAGCTTTCCCGCACCGGGAATCGAACCCGGGCCTCACGGGTGAGAGCCGTGTATCCTAGCCACTAGACCATGCGGGAGGTGCCTGCAACGCGCTGTTCCGCGGATTTTAAATTTGCTGCTCGTCTACTGCTGCTGGACTGCCGCCAGTGGGTTCTATTCTTACCCCCTTTCAGTTTCACGACCGGGCTGACGTCTGCTCCTGGCGCGTTCAGTGATTACGCTCTGCCAGTGGCCTCCGCCCGGCCACTGACGTAACGGAGGGCCCGCGCACTCAGCTGCCACCAACAGGCCCTGCAGACGGCCGTTCCTCAAACGTCGGCCGAGATTAAACATGTTTACCGGCTGTCTGTGGCGCTGAGGGGCTCATTCCCGTCGTGAGTGACGTCCTCAATGTCAAGGGCTTCTGGGAGCCGGCCAACGTGGCGCCGGGTGGCTGACCATTGTTTTCTCCACGCAGACCGGCTTGTGTTCTGGCAACGGCGACGGGGTCGGCCTGGCGCGTGCCGGCCCGGCCCGGGGCTGGTGACGGCATGCGACCGCTCCGTTTCTGTAATGAGAGGGCTCGTTTCTGAGCGCTCACCTGTCTTCTGTGACGAACAATTCATCGCCAAGCCACGTGAACAATGCTACTATTACACGGCGCCTGGCGACGCATTCCTTCGCATTGCTTCCATACGTTTGTGAGCATTGGGGTTCAACCAAGCTATCAATGGAAATAAAGCTGTATGCCGAGCTGTATGACATACCGCCGTATGCCAGCGTGTTGTCCGGGCGGCAGCGGCGAGTGCCCGTGATCCGCCAGGTCTTCGCTTGTCAGCGGCGCGCTGAGTTTTTGTCGTATCGCGCGGTCTCACCCTGGAGCCGCCTGCCGCCGGCCATCATCGCCTCTCGCACCGGCAATGAGTTTCGTATTAGGCTAGAGGATTTTGACGCTCCCGCTGTGTAATCATTTCTCGCTTGTCGTTGTCTGACACGTGTTGACGATTTATATTTGTATTCATTAATTTGTTTTTTACGAAGTCGTGTGAAGGGGTGGATGGCAGATAACGTGCGAACGTGGTCGAGTTGTTGTCATGTTGAAATATTGCAATCATACTACTTTTGGTAAACGTACCGAATCAAACGATAAACCACTTGTTCAAATGATTCGTGGGTACAATGAACCAAAGCTAGGTCCGTCATCCACATTGGACTCGCTTCAATGATTCATTCCAAACAGTGCAATGTGTGGAACGGCTTGGTAGTAGTCCCTCTTCCTACAAAAATGTGCATATTTTGAGACTTTAAGTCCACCTCCGCGTGTCGGTTTGTCTCGTCCTCATCCCTGCTCGTGTCCTTATCGGCAGGGCGGCAGCGGAGACACGCCGGATGACCGGCGCCGGTTCTCCGAGCTCCACGAGGCCGTGCAGCAGTGGCTGCGGCAGCAGCAGCCGCTGGTACAGCAGCCACTGGAGGTCAACACGCTGCCGGAGCTCCGGACCGCGCTGGCACGGTGCAAGGTACGGCTGGTGACCGCTGGGTGGCAGCACTATCGATGCTGTACGTGGACAGGCAGTAAGATGTGATGACAGCCCATGAGGTACTGTGACAGCTTATCAGTTCGCACCGCATCGGGTGACAAGGGAAAGGGGGTGTACGCTTACAGGTCATTTGTGTAGAGAGCGTAAGTTTCACTATAAAGCTGAATGGTTTGTGGCGGCATCTGTGTCCGCTAGAGAGCTTGTTGCTGCTTCCAAGCTATTCCCTCCTGATTGGTTGTGGACTGTACATCAATATGTGATAGCTTACTCGCTGATCCATGTCCTCGGTGACCTCGGTCATGCCGCGGCGAGAGAGTCCCCGATGGCGGCCTGACGTGACACTGAGCCCCCTTACCTGACGTGACACTGAGCCCCCTTACCTGACGTGACACTGAGCCCCCTTACCTGACGTGACACTGAGCCCCTTACCTGACGTACACTGAGCCGCCTGACCTGACGTGACACTGAGCCTCCTGACCTGACGTGACACTGAGCCTCCTGACCTGACGTGACACTGAGCCCCCTTACCTGACGTGACACTGAGCCCCCTGACCTGACGTGACACTGAGCCTCCTGACCTGACGTGACACTGAGCCTCCTGACCTGACGTGACACTGAGCCTCCTACCTGCCGTGACACTGAGCCTCCTGACTGCCGTGACACTGAGCCTCCTGACCTGCCGTGACACTGAGCCTCCTGACCTGCCGCGACACTGAGCCTCCTGACCTGACGCGACACTGAGCCCCCTTACCTGAGGTGACACTGAGCTCCTGACCTGACGTGACACTGAGCCCCTGACCTGCCGTGACACTGAGCCCCCTTACCTGAGGTGACACTGAGCCTCCTGACCTGCCGTGACACTGAGCCTCCTGACCTGCCGTGACACTGAGCCTCCTGACCTGCCGTGACACTGAGCCTCCTGACCTGCCGTGACACTGCCCCCTGACCTGCCGCGACACTGAGCCCCTGACCTGCCGTGACACTGAGCCTCCTGACCTGCCGTGACACTGAGCCTCCTGACCTGCCGTGACACTGAGCCTCCTGACCTGCCGTGACACTGAGCCTCCTGACCTGCCGTGACACTGAGCCTCCTGACCTGCCGTGACACTGAGCCCCCTGACCTGCCGTGACACTGAGCCCTCCGCCTGACGCAGGCGGCGGTGGGGGAGTGTCCGGAGGTCGCCCGCCAGCTCAGCGAGATGGCGACCGAGCAGACTTCTCTCAGCCCGGCCCCGTCGACACCCACGCCAGCCGCGCTGCTCGAGGACTGCAAGCAGCGGAAGGACGCGACTGAGGCCGCCCTCAACAGCCGGGTAGGGGCAGCGTCGGCCGCCGAAGACAGGTCGCGGAGCTGAGACGGCACCAGTCACTGGTCGGGCGTCTGGGGGTGTCGTCGAGTTCAGAGGGCGTTGAAAGTTCGAAGGGTGTTGAAAGTCCGAAGGAAATACCATCTTGAGGAAGAAATGATCTCAATGGGGCTGGGCACATGTGACAACAGCGATAAGGCCTGAGCTGAGTTGGTTTTGACTGTGTTAACGTGCTTGTAAAAGTGTTCAGCGATAGTTTTATTTGTTTGGGGAACGTAACGTTGGAAGTGAAGTGAACTGTCGACCTAGGCCCATGAACCATACAAAGTGGAGTTTGATGCACCTCTGTGATGATAGGGAAAAAACTAAAACGGATTTAACGGCCGAGATGCATTTCAGTTTCATTTGCTGTCCACATTGGGAAGACGGGTAACAATGTGCGTTCGGCATGTGGATGACATCGGAGATATAGAGCGGATCATTGCGATACGTCGTCATAGACTGTTCACGCACGCCGCCCTCGTCACGTCACTGCGGCACGGCTGTCAGATCCTGACGACCCGCAGCTGAGCTGTTCTAATGCCTGGCCCCGACTTCGCCAGCTGTTGCTGCTTCAAGAGGTGATTGGTGCGTTGGAGCGTTGCGAGGGCGCCATGATGGACGTGGAGGCGTGGTGCAAGACCACGCGGGTGTCGCTGTCGCCGCGGGAGGCGTCCCAGCGGCCGCTCGACCAGCAGCTTGCCACCGTCGAGAAACTCTGCCAGGACATCGACGTCAGAGAGGCTCAGGTGGCGACCAGCGGGGATCAAGTCAAGGTAGGGCTGTCTGTGCGCTCATCTGTGCGTGTCGTCTAGTCGCTGGCAAGCTCACAGTGTGGCGACTGGCCAATGCTGAGGACGAGCCCCGTGTCCTGCCTGCAGCCGCCTCGTCCGTGCGGCGGCGTACCCCGCTTACCGCGCTCGCGCGCCCGCCGGCAGCTCCTGCTGGACTCTGGGGGCGTCTCCGGAGCCGCCACCGTCCCGGCCAGGCGTGCCGGGCTGCTGCAGCAGCTGACCGAGCTGCGGACAGCCGCCGCCGACCGCCGCGCCCTCCTGCGCCGCAGCGTCTCGCAGCTGGACCAGCAGCGCCAGGTGGGGGCCGCTGGGCGGCGCTGGTGTCGCTGCTGCCGTCGTCAGCGCGGGGGCAGGGCCGTGGTCGCGTTAGCTTTGACCAACACAACACTGGGTTCGGGTCGCTCGGCAGGTTTAAGGCGGAACTGTAATAACAGCTGGTGCTCACTTTCATCACATGGAATCACTGCCCAGACCAACGCGTATTTTTCAAAACGCCCTCGTATTTGGGCTCGGGTGAACGGGTCGGCCCCTTGGCGAGCTTATCATATTATGAACCTTGCTTGTTCACCCCCTTTACCTGACGAAGCACACTTATTGTCTGGCCCACCAATGTGATCGTGTTGCTCGGCGCGCCTCCCTGTGATGCTCGGCACGCCTCCCTACCTTACCACAGAATCTGCGGTGTATCACACACCACACGGGGATTGGTACATCGCCTCTGATGCGACGTATCAATCCCCGTACCCGCGCGAATGCAGCGCCAGAGGGCGGAGAGGCCCGGCGCTCCTGCGGCCCGTGACCGGTCCCGGGTCTCCTCAGGAGGTGCAGAGGCTGCGGGGTGAGCTGGAGCGGCCCGAGCAGCCCGCCGCGGCGGGCCCACCGTCCGCCCCGGCCGCCGAGCAGCCAGCGACGCCGGCTGCAGTTCCGGTCAGTCTACCCCCGCTGTCTCCCGCGGCCTAAGATTCGGGCCCGCTCCCCGGGCGGCACAGGCGCTGTCGGGGCCTCACTTGCTCTCCATTCTGGATGGTCCCACGCCGACCGGTCATGACGTCATGCTGAAACACCCCATCGTCATGACGTCATAGGTCCGGACATGGCCAGATCAATACGACGGATTGCAGCGTATTGATCGGGGCACAACAGGAACTATGACCACGAGCATTTCACCTTGCCCGGTGTCGTTCCACCCGGTACAGTCCACCCTTGCTGCTTCCTTTGTTCGCCTCTGTTCGCCTTGCCAAGTCCGTGACCGAACCGGCATGAACCCGCTAAACTGCCGAGGCCCATGCTGGGCGTCCCGGCCCTGCACCGTGCGGCTGCTCGCACGCGCCCGCTGCCGACGCCAGGTCGTGCTGATGTAACCGGCCGGCCGGCGAGCCGTGCCGTCCCACCAGGCGACGCGTTCGGCGCCGGCCGTGTCCGTGGCTGTCCGGGAGGTGCAACACCGGTCGCCCCGCCGTCCGGCTCGTGCCGACGAGAACAGCGATTGATGTCTGGTTCTGATATGGGATGGAGCTCGGGTGATCGTGACCAGTGTGCGGGTCCGCCCAAGCGGTGGTCTGCCGGGTGTTGCTGCCGACGCTAGCAGTCGTGCCGCTCCACCAGCCGTCGTCTGCCACTGGCGGCCGCTGGTGGCTGTACTTCCGTACCGTAAGGAGGGTACACGGCGTGTCTGGGGCGTCGGAGTAGCGCTCCAGCTGGCCGGGGCGGAGCAGGGTTGCCAGACGACCAGGCCCGCTGCTGCGTCAGACGTGTAGGCCCGCTCCGAGCAGCGCCTCAGCTGGCCGAAGCGGAGCAGGGTCGCCAGACGACCAGGCCCGCTGCTGTGTCAGCCTTGTAGGCCCGCTCCGAGCAGAGCCTCAGCTGGCCGAAGCGCAGCAGGGTCGCCAGACGACCAGGCCCGCTGCTGTGTCAGCCTTGTAGGCCCGCTCCGAGCAGCGCCTCAGCTGGCCGAAGCGGAGCAGGGTCGCCAGACGACCAGGCCCGCTGCTGTGTCAGCCTTGTAGGCCCGCTCCGAGCAGCGTCCCGGCTGGCCGGAGCGGAGCCAGCCGTGTGGGCCCGCCCCGAGCAGCGCCGTTCCAGCTGTGGGTGTTGGCGGCGGCGGCGGCGGGGCCAGAGGAGAGAGGGAAGGGTATCGTCTCTGCTGTCTGGCCGTCGGGACCGCCTGTCTGGTCGACTCTGCTGCGTCAGTACCATTAATCAAGCTGGCCAGATACCGCTGTCGTCCGGCTGGAGCAGCTTATTGCACTGCGTTTAAGCGAGGCGAAGGCGAAGAAGGCCTGCTCGGTGTCTAGGGTGATGCGGTCGTGTAAGTAGGGAGGCTGTGTTGAGGTTGGCCGCGGTATTGTGACCGGCTTGTGCAATGCCCTTAAAATCGTGCGGGACGAGATATCGGCAAGTAGAACCGACGCCTGCCGGTATCGGCAGGTAGAACCATTTGGCTCCAAAGAAAGTACTCTGTCATCTCCATACTCTGCCATCTCCAGCTCTCTTCATCATCGCCCGTTCTTAGCCGTCGCGGGCGACAAACTAGTAGCTCCTCCTCCATCCTACCACGCCCCAATTATATTTTTGGACTTTACCACGATTGAAAGATGCTGAAGATGTTATTAAGATGCAAAAGCGTTATCAGAAAACATTTGCCTCACTGATTCATCTTGACATACGGAAGGCATTGGCAGATGTTCGGACGTCAAGAAGTGTCCTTGGGGTCGTTTTGGACATACTGCATGGGGTCAGCGAACTCGGAATGGCTTGGCTCGCAGATCAGGGACGGCCGAGATCTGAGGGCAGTGGGTTGGAGGGGGGGGGGGGGGGATTAGTCGGAACCACCGCCTCGATCGTCCCCCTGCCGGAGCAGAGTACCAATAACCCTGCGCTAGTGCAGAGTCATGAGTCTGATGCTCACATGCCCCACCCCATCCTCCACCTTCTGAAGGGGATCGATTCACTGGCACTGCCTGGAATTTGGTTTTGATATCCGTCTGTTGGATGTACGCTTACAGTTGACCACCTGTGCGATGTGTCACCAATGTGCTTATTTGTACGTACTACTCACTTGTGCACATTTTATTGCTTTTGCCGTGTTTTTTAGTTCGTAGTAAAACCTTTAGCTATCCCATTGTTTTCGCTGCAGTCAATTCATAATCTGATCAGGTCACAGCCGGCACACGTACACGCGATGTCCGAAGTGTGGCATTGATGCTTTTTCCCGGCTGAAGGCGATCATGGCATTGGTCGCTGGTCTTCTGCAGATGTTTATCAGTCGAATCACCTTTTCACATACTTGCTGCAGACACACCTGGTACGCCATTGGATTAAGCCTTTATTAAAGTATACAGCGAGCAAGCCAAACTGTCGCTACGGTGAGCCATACCAGGAATTGCATCTGGCAAGATGTCTTTCTGCCGTGGAAATGATAGTTATCGCTCCCTTGCGATGACGACGATTGACTGCACGCGGTGGCCGAGAGATTGCTGCTAGCGCACAAAGCAGAGACTGAATCTGGCCTGTTGCCCCGATACTGTGGAAACCATAGTTCAGTACTGTTGAATCGTTTTTATATGTGTTATACCATAATACATATTTCATACATATATATATATATATATATATATATATATACTTATTAATTATACTTCAATACTAGCGGTGCGCAGTGACGAAACTAAAAACTGGACCGCTGTTGCACCCAGCTTGGTGCTGGATGTTTGGCTCTGAAAGATTGCATCGCCCAGCACACGTTGTGCAACTGCACAGTCGTGTGGGCGTGGTCTGGCTCCCAGCCGTGGTCGTGGGAGGGCCGACTGAAACCGCCATTAGCGTGACACATAATAACCGCCGGCGCGCGGACGGGCGCGGCCGACGACATCGCTGTCGGTTCCGGCGCGCGGCGGTATGCCGACTAGAGCTGCCGGTTTGGGCCCGCGCGCCCGCCGGGCACCGGCTCAAAGCCTGGCAGAGGGTCGGGTGAGCTCTGCTGGCGGAGCTGGCGCCTTGGCCGGCGTTCGGGAAACGAAATGCGCAGTTGTTTTGTTTTTCGGAGCGCAGAAGCATGCTGTTATCTGAAATATCAGTACCCGCCACCGGCCAACGCCGCCGACAGGTGACGCATTTTTCTGGGAAGCTGCAAAAGCGGCACTGTTTCTCTGGCATTGACAGTGACGCCGATGTGTCAAGAAAACGCTCGGAAAACTGACGTTCGGAGGTAAATAGACGGTCAAGTTTTCTAGCCGCGTATGTAATGGCCAGGTTCAGTCAGGCAACAGGATCGCGATGTAAGAGGTACCCAGACGGCTTTTTTGAAGAGGTCCGAATGCTCTTTTAGCAACGCTGTCATTAATGTTATTTTAGCTTTTGCATGTTTATGGTTGCGTTTCTCCGGGCTCGAAGTGCATTGTAAGAATTTCCATCGGCCAGAGAAGTAGAAAATTAGGGGGATATTGATCGCTTTTCGATAATCGCGCGCCATTAGTTTCTTCGGAGATCAGGTACGATGCTGTTGTGCCTTTCCTGGACGATGGGGTCCACAGTTCTGGCAGAAGACACCGTTGCTGACCTCTGTAGGTCAGCAACTTTATAGAGTCTTGATGTCCTCTTTGGCCTGTGAACTAAGTTGTAACACAAGCGTTGGTTGCAATGCAGTATTCGTTGCCTTTGGTGGATTTATCATTATTCCGAGGAATGTATTTGTTTTGCTGCCGCATTTATGTATGACCGAAGTGAAAAAGAGCATCGTTCAGAACGGGCCTGCCAGAGCCAATCGAATTACGAATATCAGCTGGAAGGCTCGGAAGAATTCCATGATTGATTTTCCCTGGCTTCTTTCTGAGTTCAAACTGGCTCGAACAAGAAAGCACATGCCAATGTCACTACCCCCACCCCTTTGCAAATGTTGTTCTCCTTATGTGGAATATATTGCCGCCCACTAGGTTGATGACAGGAGCCAGCAAAATGGAAGTCGCCACGTGTTCCTGCCAAATGGCTTTTGACTGTCGCTGTCTGGCAATGCTGTTACTTCTCAGCAGCATTTCTCACAAGTTGCATCAATAGCGTTCACCAAGCATGTCACGCATAAGGTAATTCCTTCACGTGACCCTAGCCAACACTTCGAAAACATTCTTGCGTCCCAAAAATTCCTTCCATGCGTGTTTATCGCCGTCCCAATGTTCCGGCCCAGCGGCCAGGCGCCGGCCGGGCCGCGGCACGTGGTCGGACGCGCGGCGCCCTGGCGGCTCGTCCGGCGGCGGCCCCGCCTCCGCGGCCGCGCCGCCGCCCCGGCCGCCGCCGCGCCGGTCAGGGTGCGTCCGGGCGCCCCAGCCAGTGTGGAGCGAGCGCCGCCGCCGTCAGCTCGCCCAGCGACCCCGTCCGTGTGCTGCGCCGAGCGGCCGTGGGTGCAGGTCTCGTGCGCGATCTGCTGGGTCGCCGCCCGGCAGCGGAGGAGGGTGCCAGAGCTGCGCCGCGCTGTGAGTCAGCTCGCTGGTGGTGCGGGCGGCGAGGCCACGATACGACGCGCTGAAGAGCTTATTGTGGTTGCAACTGCTGATTGGTCGTTTTTCTATGTCGCGGGATGATCACTGCTGACTCCATGTCGTGAGCCAGTTGCTACGAAAGTGCCATTCAGATATAAAAGTGTTAAATGGATGTCCAGGGTAGTCGGTTTATGCCATTCGATGGTCTCCAACGCCCTGCAGAGGATGTTTACAGCCATTCGCGAAGCCTAATCTTTACTATCATTGAGTGACTGGTTGTTCTCTTGGATTGCGTCAGGGTTTATCTCTCAGCGGGCATGTTGTCTAGACGTGGACGTCTGGGGCGTATTTGTCTATTTGCGCGTGTCGTCGGGGACGTATTTGTCAGCTGCTATCCCTGAGCGAATCAGCCGTTTTCCATGATCCGACCGTGTGCCGTCCGCCAGTGGACTGGCTGCCGTTTGTGGGCCGGAGCGCAGTTGCCCAGTCCCGGGCGCACTCCCCGTGCCCCTGGGCAGACACCAGGGCAGGCGGAGCCTCGTCCGGCACCTCGGCTGGCGGCTGGGGTCTGCGGCGGGTATGTGGCCGCACCGTCCCGGGGCCGGAAGAAGGCGTCACTGATGATGTATCGGACCGATGACAAGCGTAATATTTCGCCCCAGGGGTTCGATAGAAGTAAACACTCGGAACGCCCTACTCTGTGATTAATGGCGTCAAATCGGAGATAACGCGGCGGAAACGGCCTGGAAGCGTGTCGCTGTCGTCGAACCTTTGGCGACATGTGGACTGTGAAGCGATCCTACGAGCTCGTACTGTCCGGGCCCCCAGCCGAGGCCCCGGGCTGGGAGGCCATTCAATGTCCCATAGCGTCTAGATGAAGCCTTGCATTGGTCACTAGTCGTTTGATACTGGGCGCTCATCAGGCTTTAGTGCGGGTACTAAGCTCCAGATGCGGTTACTAAACCAAGGCCAACAGCTTCAGAAGGGTGCCACAGGCGGTCTTGCGAGCGTCCAAAAAGCAGGCAGCGAGAACGACTTACGATCCATTTTGAAGATGTAACGCCGTAGTGCTAACGTTAGATTTTACTTTAAGTTGGGACGGGGCTGCGCCTCCTCTCAGCTGTTCCAGGTTCATTGGCTGTTCATTCCAGTTAGCTGTTAGTGTAATATCATTTGTGAGTGATATCCAGTTGTTGCCACCATAACTAAACGCTCCACAGGATCGCGTTGCGATATTTTCAGCGTGTTGTTTCCGACTTTAACTTCACATCATGCACACGGAATCTTACTGTAATGCATAACACCAGGAATGCAGCTTCCTGTTCAATTAACGGGGTTCCCCCAACTTTGAATAAGAGTGGCCATGTTCGGAAAAAACAGTTATTCGACTATTTTAGGCGTAGGTTTGGTAACTTTCACGTTCCAGCTCCCAATTCATGTTGCAAAACACCGCCCCGCACAACACATGGTAGGCTACAGCGCGATTATATCTTAGAGACAGCACGCATTAAATGTACCTGGCCTTTTGCGTGCGAGTCGTTTAACCCACGGCCTCCAATTTATGCGCGCTGTTCATGGTAGCATCAGCATTGCGAACGCGTCCTCTCTTGCTGCGAGTGCGGTTATCCCCAGAACCCGCTCGCCGGATAACACATCTCTCCTGGTGCCAGGATTGCTGACCACAATGTCTCGTGGTCGGATGGCAGATGCGTTTTCGGCTGTTGTTGGCCGGGCCTCCCAGCCCTTGGCAACGCCACGCTGGACCACTTGGGCCACTTGTGTGATGTATGTGAGCAGGCCAAATATAAGTCCAGTAACATGAGTGCTCGGGCACTTCCCATTTATTCGTAAATTCAATTTGTTCCTTTTTGGACCACGTCCCATGAGAGCCATTCGAAGTAAGAACACATTCGGCCTGGTGCTTGCGGCACATTACTTTTGGTTTAGTTTTATCTCCTTGATTCATCTCAACCACTTCGTTATATCTGCTCGACTCGGCGACTCCGCCAAACTCGGCGGTTGCGGCTTGATTTCGGCAGGGTGCGACATGAATTCCTAATGCAACAGTTTTAATTTTGAATGATGGTGGAATCGATACCCCGACACGTTTGAATGGCGCATAGTTTGAGTCTAGTCAACTGTTTTGACTGGAATTATCGTTTAGTTGACGGAATAGAGGTGGTCGGTTCAACTGTGAATTCACAGCGGATGTCAAACCATTTCTTGCCTTGTTAGCCATTTTCTGAAGTATATTTGATGTATCGATATTTGCACCCACAGTACGCTTTTCCAATTTGTTTCCACCGGAATGGAATCCATGGAATCAATTTTGCAAACCAACCGCTGCGTTGGAGGCGAAATCGAGATCGACTCAAAACGATGCCGCTGCGCTTTAGAACCATTTATCAGTCACGTGACGTATTTCTCGGCCTCTTTTGTTGCCTCCCATGTAAGGCAACTTTGGTACGGGTTCTTACTTTTTACAAGTTTTTCGTAACGTTAGTCGCTTTCGTTCCTTCTCCGACGGTTCCTACATTATGGATGGCCCTTTGAGCAACTTAGGAGTCAGTCCACAAATGAAGTCGGTATCGCGGCTTTGAAGCCTGAGCCGAACGTGCTTCCGCAGACGTGGAACCGATCACGGGCCTGCTTGCGCGTTTGAACTGCTCTTAGCTTATGATGTTGCCGAGCGGGACAACACAGCGCTTCCGTCCCCTGCGGCGGTGGCCACATGAGCCGCGGCACCGCCGCCGGCGTCTGTCACGTGATACGCCTGCGGCCTTATCGGCGCGCGCTGACCCGCCGCCTCCCGTTGCAGACCGGCGTCAGCGACGAGCCGCCTGCCGCCGCCGCCGTCAAGGTCAGTGAAGGTCACCGCCGGGCGTGCCGGCCGTGCGATCTGTGGTGCAGTGGGTGGGCGGTGGAGCGGACGTCGGCTTTGCTGAGGATTATAGGCAGAGGCTCTTGGGAGCTGTCGATGTTCGAGAATGGACGGAGGAATTGAGTTACTTGGTGGGGTACCCGGAGGACGTTACTTTTAAATACATTTGCGTCACTGGCTGTGCTCCCGCAAGAATGTGATTTCACGAAATAAGTTTGGGGGGGGGGGGGGGACAGTGGAAAGCAGGTTGAACCAATGCGTGAAATACATGAAGAAAGGTTTTCTGTCGAGATCTTCAAGGTTGAGCGGGGGGAGGGGTACTGAAGCGCCCGCTCTGCAGCTGAATAATAAACTACACCCTGATCTTTCGATTCATGATAGCGAGTGATTTTAAGTCAACAGATGGTCTTCTCGTCTCCCACGTAGCCCACGTTGAGGCGCAACTTTGCAGAAGTGCCGTGTTATAAGGAAAAGGCACAAGAGTTATCACGGGATCCAAACGTAGATGCAATAGCTTTCCACTGTGATATTAACCCAAAGAGGTTCTGCCCACTGGACCTCCTTCCTGTGAGATTGGTACCACCAGTCCGCTGGCGGCCCCTCAATACCAACAGACTGGTTGCCTGGGGACACTACGTCATCTCAGCTTTGTCTCGTAAGGAAAGCTGCACATTCAACTTATCACAAACATGTTGGGGCATCTTCGGTTTGGCTGAGTCTCAGAATCGGTGTTTGTTTATTGCTCCACGATAACAAACGTGATCGAACGGAACTAGCGGTAGCGTAGCGTTTGTCGGCCGTCGCGCTAAGTCAGTGTATTGAATGCTGCCAAAAGGTAACCGGAGTAAGCGGATATTCAACATTGCAGCTGTTCCTGACCCAATGAGGCGAGATTTCGCAATCACATCCAGCATGCAGAACCTTGTTTGCGTTAAGACTGCACATAGTACAGAGGCCGTTATACAGGCGCCCCTCCACTGGCGGCCCCTGCGGGCACGCCTTGGTCGTGTGTCGGAGAAGCGGTGGCGATGGGAGCAGTGAGCGCTTAAAGGTTTCGAACTCACCGTCTCACTCGCCGTCTCGTTGTGAGTCGCTGTGAGAGGGCGTCATTACCGGTGAGACTCGGCCGTCTGTTTACCGCGGTCCGTCGGCTCCGCTGGCTCGCCGCCCGCCCTCCTCCCCTTACCCACCGAGGCGTCGGTCCCGGCCCCGTCCGTCAGACCGAGAGGAGGCTATTTCGTAACGACCGCGTGACTATTTCGACGCGTCGCGACACCGGCAGCCGGCCGGGCAGGCTCGGTCGCCAGTCCGACCGAACGGTGACCGACGGAGGCGGGCGCGTGGGTGCGGTGTGTGTGCGTGCGTGGTGTGTGTGGAGGGGCTGAGAGTGCCACTGACTTTCGCCGGCCTTGGACATGGATGCGGTAGGTGGGATCGGTCAATTTGCTTGCGGGTGAGGCGGGCCGCGCGCGCCTCCTTTGTTTGCACGACTGACTGGCTGAGCGGCTATCTTTGATTTGTTTCCTGGAAGCACTCGCCAAAGACTCGACTCATGGCTCGCCAGAAACTCGACTCATGGCTCGTCGCATGACTCGAGTTATGACGCGTCATTGTCACCAATTCGGCAAGCGCGGCTCATTCGTCGGTCTGCGCCTTACTTTATTCTTTTTTATTGAGTCATGAGGCAAAGGCACTGCCTTGTGAAAACCTTAGCCGTGGGATGGCAAATTTTGCCTGCCAGCGAGCTTACACTCATTATCATGATTTCAAAGTGTCTAAAAAGGGGATTAGTTGGTCATAACCGGAGATACGGCGTTAAGATTACACGGTCATAAGCTCCACTTGACGATATAGAGCTTCACGTGGGCTCAAAACTCGCGTGCCCTGAGCAGCGATACGTTAAAATGCAGGGCGGATACTGATTGACGGTTCGAATGTAGGTGAATGGGGGGGGGGGGGGGAGGGTCCCAGGATAGCCGGCTAGAATATCGGGGGGGGGGGGGGCGTAAGGTCAGTAAAACGCTTCCACGTAGAGATTGTTGTGTCTTTCCCTAGCGGCCAATAGGCACTCTAGGCTTGATTCAACCTTAAGTGTGGCGAAGCCGTGCTCGTCAGTGGGATGCCGGGTGCCGCCGCCCAGCCTTCCACGGCCCTTCAAACCCGCAGGTCGAGCCCCAGCGACCGCTTCGTGTCCCCGCCGTCCCTCCCCGCTCAAAAGGCGACCTCGGACGTCTAGTGAGGGCGCCATGGCCGGCCGGAGACTCGCGGCCCGGAGCCGGTTCAGGCCCTGCCGGCGCGCCACCCCGAGCCGGCCCGCGCACGTGGTGCCGGCCCGATGCGGGTCAAGGTCCCGCCGGAGGCGCCGTGACCCGGCTGAACTCACCCTCCCACCGATGGAGGCCATCGGTACACGCCTCCAGGGCTGGTACGTCGCGGCTGGCCCTCCCAGTGATGGGCGCCGGCGAGTGCGACGCGAAGCGGACCGTGGCGGTGGGCGCTGCTGGTCCCCTTCTCTCTTTCTCTCTCTCCCTCCCTGCCGCCACTCGCTCGTATTATCTCCCGCCATGGAGGCGGCCGCGGCTGCCTGTGGCTCCCATACTCCGTCTCTGACAGCGGTGAGAGCGGGTCGACGATCGGCCCTGGCCCGGCGTCCCATCCGACATCTGGCGGGGGCGGCGCGCCGGCCGGCTGGGTGGAGCCCAGCGGGCGAGCAGGCGGGAGCAGCGCTGCGCGTCGGCGGCGTCGGCAGTGTGATGCCATCAGTGTGCGCACGAGGATCGCATGCCTCATGCCGCAGATTGTGAATGATGGGGCTGTTTGTAGCGTAGCTATGCAGTAATGGAAATAATCAGATTGAAGCGATCAGCTGATGACCCCATTAGCTGGTGACTCATCAGCTGGTGTTTCGGGGCTCGCCGTGTTATCGCAATTCGGTTACAGCGGATTGCCTCACCAACTGCTTTCATCCGTTGCACTGAACTCAGTGGCCTGTCTCGGCACACGGGGTGTGCAAGGTCCGACTGTCGCCTCTTCCCCGCGATAGCTATGGCAGAGTGGGAGTGGCGGCTGTTTATTTGCGCGATGCGGGAGATACACCATATCGCTGCTAAGCCTCCGCCCAGATCGCTCGATTGCAACTTCCCTGATATGAATGGCAGAGATACTGGCATTCGACATGCGCCAATGGGTAAGGACCATCCTTCGTGAGTGGGGATGTAACTGCGCAGTTCTGATAATCTTTGAAACCGCTCTGCACTTCAGCAACAAAAGGTGTTTTCTTTGGATTTCTTCGCTGCATCCGGGAGAGGAAATTCCGGTCTTCAAGGTCGCAATAATAATGATCCCCATATCATTTGTGTAAGCCTCGAATACTGAATCAGACCTGCACCTAATCTGTGGGGGCATCTGCGGGGAGGCCGACACTTCCCGAATCACGACCTGGTGACGCGTGCTGATGTGCAGCTCTGCTGTGGTCTCCAGCCTCTTCGCCACAGTACCAGCTGGTCGAAACGCCAGCGACGTCCCAGCCCTGGCAGCGTCCCCGCCTGTGCCACGCGTCGCCCTCCTCCGGGCCGTGCTGCCGGCCGGCGGGCGCCCGCGGCCGCTCTTGCCCAGCGATCGCGGCGGACCGCGCCGGCACGGGTCTCCGCCCCTGGCGCTGCCGCCGCCCTCTCAAGGTCGGGCACGGCTCCACCGCTCGCCGCTCGGCGGGGCCCAGCTGGGTCGTCCATGTGAGCAGACGCCCCCGCCGCGCGCGGGCGCCTCGGAGGCCGTGGTCAGGGGCCTGCCAGCGGTCTGCCAGTGGTCGGCTAGTGGCCGGTCAGGGGTCGGTCAGGGGTCGAAGGGTCTGCCAGATGTCGGCCAGGGGTCGGCTAAGGGTTGGCTAAGGGTCAGTCAAGGATCGGTCAAGGGTCGGCCGGGGGTCGGCCAGAGGTCGGTCAAGTGTCGAAGGGTCTGCCAGCGGTCAGCCAGGGGTCGGCTGGGGGTCGGCCATTGGTCGGTCAGGGGTCGGTCAGGGGTCGGCCAGGGGTCAGCCAGGGGTCGGCTAGGGGTCGGTCAGGGGTCGGCCAGGGGTCGGTCAGGGGTCGGCCAGGGGTCGGCCAGTGATCGGCCGCTGCAGTCATACGGCGGCTGGGGCAGGTGGCCGGCGGCCGGCGGCCGGCGGCCGCGGTCTGCGGGGCGGGCTCGATTGACACGTCCTGGCCGCCGGCCCCTGTAGTTCAGCCACCCGGCTTCCGCAGTGTGGCGGTTGATCCGGGGCTTGGCTGACGGGCAGCCGCCCTGCGGCAGGTGTTTCGTCAGACCGTTCATTGAACATTTTCCCCCAGCCCGTCGCTCCTATCGCCTGATCAGGGGCAAAACCAATCTGAAGAGCTCAAGAGTCAATTTTGTCGTCTTGAGCCGACGGTCTTCACAGTCGTACTTCACTTACGGGGCGTTATAGGGTGCAGGGTGTCAGACGTTTTACCCAGACAATGACACGAATAAAGATGAGAAGCATTTACGGAAGTAAGTCTGGTCTCCTTGAAATTTGACCCGCTGGTTGCAGGGGAAATTAAAGTATTGCTCCGAGCAGGTCTATGAGTCAGTTTAAACACTCAGTCATCCCAGCATATAGTATCACTCAAGGTTGATCTCAGCTATGAATGTGTTCCGGTAGCATGACTTGCAACGTTTTGAGGCATGAAGAACGCCCAGTTTTATGTTGTTCCGCTGCCGCCTACATCGCACCAAAGATGACGAATGTGCTGAAGTATGCAATCTTCCTCCGGACCACCCAAGACTCCTTCTGAATCCAGGTCCTCTCGATCGACGATGTCGAATTTAACACTGTTGCGCGAAATCCTAGGCAGGCCTTTACATCTCATTGACGTTAAAGTGACAATATTTTTATTTTCGAGGACAGAGTCCTATTTCGACGACATATTTCTGTTTTCGCACTTAAACATCACTGATATAGCCATGAGGCATCATCTGTGTTGGTAAGTACTGGAACACACCTCAAAAATATTTCTGTATCCGCTAGATTTCGCAGAGTTCGTCGATAACATTTGTCAGGTCTTTTCCGTCCTTTTTCTTGTTTTGCCGTCGCTCCGTGTTTCGTGCCCCATCTCCCCTACCATATGCAGCGCGGCGTGCGGGCCCCGTTCCTTATGATCTTCGGAATATCTCCCCGATATGACCATACCGTCAGACGGTGATACCAGGTGGCAATCAGCACCGGCTTTTAACAGTGAACGGATCAACACTTATGGGGCGGCTTACCGGAGCTTATCTAGTTCGACAGAACGGATGCACTGCTTAGTCTGCCTTGTTGACCAAAGCTGACATCAGTGCCAGCGGAAAAAGTGCACAAGCGTGACTGTGCCGGCGTGCTAGCTCGATGATGAAATCTCTGTCGCCTGTTTGGCTGTCAATCGGCAAATCCTCGGGGCTTATGAGGTGTTTGGGCTCAATTCCAAGGAAGCCTGGCTTGTAACAGCATCGCCTGACTTGCACGATCACCCACCTTTGGATGGACGAAGTATCTGGTGGAAGGGCTAATAGATAAATTAGTTATGGTTCTTAGTTTGGACAATTATTTCGGAAAGCGTAAGGCAGACTTTATGTTTTCTTCATGTCCATCCAAACGCGAGTCGGGAGAATCATGTGAGCATATGATGGGGCTCCGTTCCTCATCACGATATGTTCATAGCATGGCTCATCCGCTGCGATGGAAACGCGGCGTTCAATGGATGTCCGCGTCTCGCTTTGGCTCAGTCCCCAGCGCCTCCTGTGGGACAGGAGAACTTTTGGGATGCTTTTTGGCCCACGAGGCAGCCACCTCCCGTCCTGTTTCGCCGTAAGGCTGTTCTCACATTTTAAGAGAGTTTCACAAAACATTTTTGTTGAATTGAACTGCGCAGTTAAGCCTGAATAAAAAAAACATGGGCGTCCAATACGTGGGAATGGCCAGGTTTGAGTCCCGGTAGAGCCATAGACGTGAACGCTGATATGACCTCTCTGGTGACTGGCGCTCCATGAAAGGGTGTCAGACGACGTGCGTCGTGTTCCTTTTTTAATTGAGCTCGGGCCACGCCGCAAAAATCGCAATTCCACCGCGCTAGCCGTCTCCTTCGCCCGATGTCGGACCTTCCGTGACCTTGACACAGCAGCCGGCGAGGGCGGACCTCGACCCGAACCGTCTCCCCTCCCCCCAGGATCTGTTTTCCCCGTCTTCTTCCGTGGCTGTCGGTGTTCGAGACTGTTCGGACGCGCTAGCTCTGGCACGCGGCGCCTTCTGTGTCCCGTGCGGACCTGTGGCACTGGCCGCCGTCCGCCAGGGAGCGGGGTCCGAAGGCCGCCCAGCCAGGCCGGCACGCTCCTATCAGATATGCCCGGTCGTGCCGGCTAGGCGTGCCTCGTCCCTGTTTACGGCCCGTGTGCGGCCTGTCAGTGCTGCAGACGGCGCCTCACAATGCCGGCCGGCGGCCAGACGGCGGAGCGGGCATGGCGGCGTCAGGTGTCCGAGCGCGCGGCTGTGTAGCCGGCCGGGCGGCAGCGGCAGGCTCGGGTCAACAGTGCAGCTTCGATACCACTCTGAACGTTGTTTTGTGTTGAAAAACTCTCTTGAGTATCATGGGTGCAGGTGTTGTGCTTCGAGAAAGCTCGCTGCAAGATATGGTCCATACTCCAGGTACCCAACTGCCGAAGCCGGTTTGGCGCAAAAATCTCAAAGGCGGGAAGTGTTCGTCCCCCCCCCCCCCCTCCCCTTTGGTGTACGTATGGTATGCACCCTCAGCTGCCGGCCATGCAGTGCTGTGGCAGTGCGCCGGTGGGTTTGGCGAACTCCGGCCTGTTTGTTCGATAGCTGTATGAGACGGGTATCAAAGCGTTGCCATCGGCGGTCGCTGCCTGCTGCTGCCAAGTGTCACAGCTCACCGGGGCTGTTGATAGGCGCCTGTAACGGTTGTGGACGTGCACCTCCCGGCCTCCCGCGGCGCCTGCTGTGATGCCGTCCGTGAAATATTTACACAACTCCGCCAGACGGGATGTCGGGCGTTTTTAAACCAAATAAACAGTTTTCCTGTCTACCTGAACGTAACATGAGCCAGCTGAGTGAATCGGAGCTGGACGTGAAGCGTGTTGGTTACATCTTTGACATCCTGTCATATCGTTGTTCTAGTTGGCGATGACAGCTGAGTGATGTTTGCGGTTTTTGTTTGCGGTTTTGTTGTGCGGCATATACGTACATGCGGTGGTATGTATCTTTTCGGCACGCGAAGCGTAAACTGTTATGTCCTGTATGCTAGTCTCATGGCTGACTTAGCACGCGGCCTGACCTGTTTCAGACTCAGGACATTGAGAAGTCTGTGAATGAGTTGGAGGCGTCTGCCTCGCAGCTCGCCGAAAGCCCTGAACGTGACAGTCTGCTGGTGGATGTGACCGATCTGCGACACCGCCTGACTGACCTTCGAGGTCACTACAGGCCACAACAGGTCAGTCCGGTCATGCCGGGCATGGTCGACATGGAGCAGCACTCCGGAGTCGTTTATGTCATCCGGGCCATTCTGGCGATGGTTGATATCACCGACATGAAATAGCGTCTACCAGGTGCGGCAGGGTACCGGGGGACCCTGCCGGACCAGGGGACCAGGGGACCGGTGAGAGAATACTTACATTCATAGCTTAAGCCAATACCGAAGCCTTGGGATCACTACGGTCAGGCGCAGGATGCAATGCGTCATTTATGGCATGCCTGCCGGAGACAACGAACATGGGTACGTTGCTATGGGTACGCCAGGGGACCTTTGGGCTCGGACTGGCTTGCGGGGGCAGACCTAAGAACCCAGGGGACCTCAGGTTTCGGACTGGTGGCGCGGCAGGCGTGCTGGACCCAGGGGACCCAGGGGACCTCTGGGTGCTCGGACCGTTGGGCACGGCAGGCGCGCGAGGACCGAGGACCCGGGGGACCTCAGGTTCCGGGGCTGCCGTTGCTGACTCGACCAAGCTGCGGACCTGTCAGTTCTGTCAGCGCCGCCAGTACAGTTCGGCCAGTCCGGCTACTAAGTCACCTCGCAGCGCTGGCGAGAACGGCATCCGTAGTGCGGCGGCCACGGCCATATTTGCCAGGCGGCGGCTTCGGCGTTCGCACCTTATTCGGAGCCGGCCGGAGTGGTCGGCGCTGCACGTGTCGCGCCGTGTAGACTCGGCGGGGCCGCAGCGGGTCGTGGCGGGCCGGTGTGGTCTGCACGGCCGGCGACCCGGGCCGGGCCCGGCCCCGGCACGCCTGGCCGGGGTGCCGCGGCTCACCGGCACGGCCGACCCCGGCCGGTAATCGCCGTGCATGTGCTCGGTCATCACGTCTGACCTGGCGCCAGAGGTGCCCCGTTCTCACGAACGGGTACGATAGGCGCTCGGGGCCTGAGCGCTGGCCCGGTGCGCCCAGGGGACCTTTGGACTTCGGCTGTGGAGTGCGGCAGGCGTACTGGACCTGAGGACCCGGGGGACCTCAGGTTCCAGGGCTGCCGTTGCTGACTCGGCTCAGCTGCGGAGCTCTGACACCCACGCCGGTGCCGTGTCTGCCGCGACGAGCGCAGTCGGCGCGCCTCCTGCTGTGATGGCCGCGCCGGACGGCGAGCGCCAGTGAGACCGTCGAGCAGCTCCGCGATCAGCAGCGGTCCGCGCGCCCCGGGCTGTGGGTGCCGGTCCGGCCGACCCCCTCGTCCGCAGGCTGGCCAAGGTCAGCTGACGCCGGCAAGGTCACTGCAGGCCGGTCGGCCGACGGACGGGTGATGCGGTCCGGGCGGCCGGCGAGCCTCCTGACCAGCGGCGACAGCCGGGCAACCGAAAGCTGACCCGACATCGGTCAGCAGCCGCCAGCTCGGTCAGCAGCGGTCGGCTGACCCGGCACCGGTCAGCAGCCGCCAGCTGACCCGGCGCCGGTCAGCATCCGCCAGCTCGGTCAGCAGCGGTCGGCTGACCCGACATCGGTCAGCAGCCGCCAGCTGACCCGGCGCCGGTCAGCATCCGCCAGCTCGGTCAGCGGCGGTCAGCTGACCCGGCGCCGGTCAGCATCCGCCAGCTCGGTCAGCGGCGGTCAGCTGACCCGGCGCCGGTCAGCATCCGCCAGCTCGGTCAGCGGCGGTCAGCTGACCCGGCACCGGTCAGCAGCCGGCCGGGTCTGGCAGGCTGAACAGATAACAACAGGTGCAGCAGCCGACAAGTTGTCCGTCACCATCCCAGCTGGGACAGTAGTTAGGGCGTAACTCCAGCCGCCAGGGATTGTCGAGGATTCCCAGGGAACGGTCGGAAGGCTGTCGGAGCTTCAGTCTCCGCTGTGTTCGCGGGGACGCTGGTCCGCGGAGTTCACCGGCTCTACTGCCGAACAGCACGGCCTCTCCGCTCCCTCAGCGGGCAGACTCGGTCTGTAACAAGCCAACAGACCTGGCTATGTGCAGATGGCGTGCGGCTGGGGACCGTCGCCGGTGTTGCCGCGGTGTGCCGATGTGAGCGGCGATCGGCCCCAAGCCCGGGATGTCGGCGGCCGGTGTGCGGGCGAGAGCGCGCGGCGCCCGCCCTCGTCGCCCGTCGGCTGACATTGGCTCACCTTGGCCGGCGCTCCGTCGCCGCACGCCGCGCCGCGCTGGGAGCACAGGCCTGCATGGCAATGAGAGGCCCAGGACGTGCCTCCGTGCTCTGAAATGCCTGCTTCGCAGAATATGCTTTGCATGTTCGAGCCTGTTCAGTAGCATCATCCAAGTTTCTGCGATGGCAAACTGATAGGTCAGGTGGTGAATATTTTGAACACAGGAAGTGTCTTCTCGCAGCCCATCAGCTGAAATGTCCGAGGGAAATTAATGACATCACTTTTTAGACTGCAAGTACGGCACTGCACGGACGCAAATGCAGAAATCCTTTATTGGTGGTCACGATATATGACTGACAGTCGTGCTGGCAGCCGGGCTGCCGTGGCTCTCAGGGTCAGGGTCAGGGACGCCGGTCGATACGTGCCGCCGCGCTCGCCAGCCGGCCGGCCGGCAGCCGGTCCCGCGCCACGTGTGCGTCCTGTCCCGTGCAGCCCGACACCCACGGACCCTCGTCCGGTGACGTCATATCGGTCAGAGGGTCAGCGCGCGGCGACGCGGACCTGGCCAGGAAATGCGGCACACAGGCGGACAGCGGACCATGAACGGCGGCGGCGCCCAGCTTCGGCCGCTCGCCGCCAGGGCGGCGCCACCGTCGAGCTTTGGTCTCACCGGACCGTCGGCCGTTCTGCTGCCGGCGAGGACGAGGCGCCGGGCGGTGCCAGGCCCGCGGCGTCGGCTGGCGCCGGGCCAGAACAGCGATGCCGTCACCCCGCCGGCGTTCCGGCTCCTCTCTCTCCCCCCCCCCCCCGTCGCCGCCGCCACCGCCGGCTCAGCGTCGATCGGTGTGGGAGCGGAAGAACGTCTGCAATGCGAGCTTGGGAATGCGCTCACTGCTCCCGGTGTTCCCTCGTATTCTGCAGAGATCACCTGATGGCCTTTGGCCAGCCTCTAAGGTCGACATCTGGTTCTGAAGGCCGTTTTGCTCTGGCCGATGCATTCATGCAGAGACGGAAGAGGGCTGAATAAGCAGGATGTTTTAGCGTTTAGCAAAACTCGCTTCAGTGCCAATCCGCGCTACGTCATTCAGCAAAGCCGCTCCGCGCAACGCAATGGAGCGATTCTAGAACTTTCTGGGGGGGTTCGGGGATGCATTAGGCTGTCTAGTTGGATGTTAATTCATGCCGTGAATTTCGGTAGACCGTTTACGTGCTGAGTTTGTGTGAAGGTTGGGAAAGTATCTGCCCCCCCCCCCTCACCAATGCGAAAGCTTCAATGTTGAGCAAATGTTATTAAACGTTTAAAATACAAGGTTTTTGCCGCCCTTCCCTTTCTGCCTTTGAGTCTATGGCCTGTGGGCATGACCTTCGGCCTCTGCTCTCGTATCCGTTATACGCACCATTCGTTGTCGGTACGTAATACATGCAGGTCAGGAGACATCACGACCGTCTGGTCCTGTCTGTCCAAGCTGGACCAGCCCAGGTGAACGACCTTGTCTGTCCCAGCAAGAGGTGATGCCATATACTGGCGCAGTCACCTGGGCGGCCTCATTCATTAGAGCGGCCGCGGGATCAGCTGATGGCCGCTGGGCTGTGACGGGGCGCTCCCTCCCCCCCCCCCCCCTCAAGCGTCGATCACGCGTGCCCGGGTGTATGGCTCTAGGGGCGTCTCCGCGCAGTCCACGCATTCAGATGTTGGTTCCTTTCGCGGCCCTTCGGTGTCTGCCTGGTCGCTCTGCGGCGGCTCGTCGCGATCGCTCTGGCCTCGCCTCGCGTGACGGCTCGCCGGGCTGTCCGATCGCGCCGCGTGACCGGCGCGGCCCGCCAGGCCGTCTGGCGGGCCGCCGCCGCCGCCGCCGCCGCCGCCGCCGCCGCCGCTGTGCGGCCCGGCCCGGCCCGGCGCCGGCGCAGCCACGTGAGGCGGCATGACTGGGCGCGCGGCATCGCCCAAGGTCCCGGCCGGCGCCGGGTGATTGAACGGATTGGCCGCCGGCCGGAGGATGGACCAGTGGTTTTGTTTGGCCCGCCGCTGCTTCCGCAGCCGCCGGCTGCGAAGGTCGCGGCGCCGGCACGACCGTGGCGACCACGTGCCAGCGTGGCTTTGCCGGCCGTCTCCTCACCCGGCAGCACATATGTGAGGTGACGGGCGAGCACACGGGGCGCGCGGAATCTGGAACTCCGCGTGAGAGGTTCCCTGTGGGGCGTGCCTTGGGGCCTCGCGGGGCACTGACTCGGACTTCTCGGAGTCGTGGTGAGTCAGCGGGAGCAGGCGGTGCTGACTCAGTGAGCCGTGCACGTGACCGGGTCCAGATCTGACCGGTGACTCGGCAGCGGCTGCCGGTGGGCCTTCGCCCGGCGGCCCGGCGTCCGCCGCCGCCTGTGCCGCTCTCAGAAGTGGGCCTTTCGGTGCCGTCGGCAAGGTTTTTGTCCGTCGAAGCAGACGGAGATTCAGGCGGTTATAGTCGGACGGTCCGGTTACTAGGTCAGCCCCGCCAGGGTGAAGGGAGGCCCTCCATGGGAGAGGACTGGCTCACTCCAGGCGGTCCCACCACGGAGCGAGAGCGTCATGAGCTTCACTTCATTTGAGCTCGTACTTGTGGCAGGATTAGCGCACCGTAGCGCTGGTCACCTGACCAGACCTCGTGACAGGCTGGTCACGTAACCAGTTGGGCTCTGGCCAGACCACGTGACAGGCGGGTCACCTGACCATCTGGGCCCTGGCCAGACCAGATGACAGGCTGGTCACGTGACCGATCAGGCCCCGACTAGACCAGGCGACAGGCTGGTCACCTGACCACTTGGGCTCTGGCCGGACCAGAGGACAGGCTGCCAGTCGGACGCCGCCGAACGATAGACTTCTGGCCACGAGCCATTCCCGGGATATGTCGCGCGAGTCACAAGCCTGGGCTGATC